GCTAGCTAACAATTATTGGAAAAAACGATTAATTTCCGGAGTAACTAGCAGTCCAAATTTCGGAGTAAATTATATTTTCCAGATAATCCATCTGGGCCTTAAATTTACGTCGTACTTTATATCTCCGCCCAAAACGGTAAGTACGATATTAAATTATTATTGAAGTAAATCAAGTAAACATCACTGACAAATTTGTGAAGATATTTTTAATAACTGTTAATTCGTTGAAACACAAATAATTAGCAGTCGGAGGCTTTGAAATCAGCTCGTCAAAAATTCCAGTCAGTGGAATCTGAGGCATCAAAGAGCTCAGAGTTATTAAAAGGGAAGCTGGAGGGATATTAATGAAAAGTCGCTAAGTCGGATTGATAACTGATGACAGATACCCCAGCGTTGCGTGAGGCGCCCTCCCTCTTATGGGGTCGGCTACTACGATGCCTCTGGGGTCACTCAAACAACCAGAACTGAGCCTCTACTTTGGTCAATCCTCTTTAGAATAGGGTAGTACACGTAGTGAACCGAGCAGGTCCTATACAATTAGCGAGTAACGCGTGTTCCCTAGGTTTTGTAGATTAGTGACGGGAGAATGCAAGTCCAATGCATAACCTGCACGTCTAACGAAACTCAATCCAGTGGACTCAGTGTCACTGAGATTTGACTCCACCGAAATAAATCCAGCATCTATCATCACCTTAGAAATTACGATTACCGGTTTTGTCCCGTTTAACATGAGTTTTCCTTCCTGACGAAAGGGAATACGTGATCTTAACACTAGAAATTTCACCTACATGCCACACTAAACACGTGTTTTGACTGACTTTAGATAATAATTAGTTTTTTCATGATTACTCATTCTAGATATTGTTAAAGGTTATAAGATGTTTGGAATTATAGTGTCTGGTCGTTTGGTGAGTGCAATAATCAATTTACACTTGCGAAACATTTCGTGTCAATATCTCCAAAATTTCTCCTACTTCTCCAAACCACTTCATTTTATATTTTTTGTTTGAATATTTCAAGATTTAATCACTAGAATGTTAATGAATAGCACTCAAAATATTAATGCCTTCAATGAGAATCGATAATAAAAAGGAATGATTGGATTCTCGAATTAATAAATAATTAATTTTATGCGTTGCTTTTTGCTAACAAATTTAGTAACAAAAAATCACGAACATAATAGTTTAACTGTCCACTAACTCATCTCACCGATTGATAAATTAATATAATTATATAAATTCCTTGCCATTAACGATTTCTTATTGAGACGATCGAACTGAAAATTGTTCGCACTACCCGGTGCAAGCGGCTCTGAATATTTTCCCAAGCTAACTTAGCCATTAGCCATACTTATGCAATATATTTAACTTCCTGTTCTATTTTGTTTTTTCTTTCAGGTGGAAACGAATATTCCACAGATTAATGTAAATCAATTCTTGATAAACGTTCCTGATGCAGATAACGTGAATCATATTGTCGTATTTTTAACCGGGACTATTCCGTTTCCCGAAGGAACTGGAGGCGCAGGTATGGTTAATGAAACATTAAATGATACAATAAAACTCCACTGTATTGAAAAAAACGAGAGGAAATGGGATAGTTATGCCAAAGTTGAAATAAGCATGGCAATGATGCCTCTCCGTTTAACAGATATTAGAGTAAATAAATATGACTTTGACAATTAATTTTTTTGTTGTTAGTATATTTCAGTTGGCCAGACCCAAACGCCCCTCCAAACTGGCAGTTCCTTGGGTACATTTCGAATCTCAAGCCCTCAGCAATTTTCAAGATTCTGAATCTAAAGAAAAATCACGAATTTGAGAATACAAATTCTGGAATTTTTGGCATTGGAACGATCTCTCATGTTGCACAAATTGGGATATCCATCGAACCATTGAATTCCATCGAACTTCAAGCAAATGCAGTCTCGGAGGCTGCTATGAATGCCACTACCAGCTCCGCCATAGAATTTGCTCAGAAAATGCTAATGAATTTTTGTAATTATATTTCCAGTTTTTCTGTGACACAATCTCAAATGGTACCCAATCCCACCGAAAATTTCGTACCTCTTTCCTCGGTCAAAGGGTGGTATGAGAAGTTCGAACGTAGATTACAACAAAATCCAAATTTTTGGAGACAATTGTAATAACATCGTTCAGTATTTTCTGTACTCATCTTCATTTTATATTATTTATGCGTTGATTACTAAACGGTTCTATAATGCAAATTCAGCACGCGTTAGTCAAATTGCAATTTGCTCAAATTCATAGGTCTGTTGTTTTTATACTCAACTGCCGTAAATTTTCTTGTATATATATAGTCCACCATTATGTTCCTCATCCTCCTAGAATGGCGTTGAAATTAATGAATAATTCTGAAATCAGCGGCCGTGTCCAGAAAATTTGGAAAGTGTCGAAATACATATTTCTAAGTTTAGATGCTAATGCCACTCATTTCACGGAAAAATCTAGAATTGTGAGAAAATCTGAAAGATATTTCCATTGTTAATTTTCCTTGAGTACCATAAACCGTACGTACGACAAGTATATAAATAAATCTAAACATTTACAATTGAAAATGGGTGACTTTTTTGCAGTTAGTGAACTTACGTGGTAAAAGTAATTGTTTTTCTCAGTGTAATAAAGACATAAAAAACATAATTTTGTGTACAAAATCATTACTTTTTTAGGAGAGATTTAAAAATGTACAAAGCAGATAAGTAGTATAAAGTAAGCAAAGATATTGATACAACATCTCAGTCGCGAAAACGAAACCTTCGTCCAGACCTTTTTCCTGTAAAATCATTCTGAAAATGAATTTTTCACATATTCAGAATTTTTTTCCGAAAATAAAATTGAGGTAATATGGTGATTCAAATTCAACAGTTAACAATGAAGGAACGGAAATTAAGTTGTACAATTTTCAATTCGATCATTTTTTACGCTAACTCCATCATTAATAACGTATGAGGTTAATTGAAAAAATGAAACGAGGCAATGCAAAGATATCGTTATGATAAAAATACACGGATAAACAAATGATATTTGTGGGGGGATAATTTAAACTAATTGTTCGTTCATATCAACTCTCTTTCTTACTAGTAGTGACTAGTGCTTTCAAGTGTTTCAACCGTTAGAGCGTGTAGTCCCACACCGGAGATTCAATAGGAGAGACAAAAAAAAGTAAAGTTGCTAGGAGTCCTTTTCTTCGATTTTATGAAATGGAAAATAGGGATATGAATGGGAAAATATGTACTGTAGGGAGAGGTCTAGTAATTACATTTTATATAGCATCAAAAACGCTGAATTTGAATCGTCCGATCATCGCGTCACCACAATTTACGATTGGAACTTATTAAAATGCAGCTTACGTTATCCTACCAGGAAGTAAAATAGTCAAAAACTTTAGTGTATACTTAATAATTTGATATATTTATTGTAACTGGCCAATTACAGCAGCTCCAGTTGCTGCTACTCACTGAAATGCCAAATAGTGTACGCCTTTCGGATAATATACTTTGAGCTTTTAAACTGCTTACAAATCATATCGAACGTGGTCCTGCTTCCTTATATAGAAATAGTCAACTGGCCGACAAGAAACGAGAATGAGGCAAGCAAGTCAACCACCACGCATTTTATGTCGTTACATGCTTCATACATATATCTGTCCCGCTCTCTTCAATATTTGAAAATATTGCGTATTTTCTTATCTCAGTATCTGCACGTCCATTTTTCATTTAAAAAACCTTTAATAGTAAATGAAATCTGAATTTCCCTCGACATTCAATATATCGAATAATTTGTAAGCACTTAATACTTTACTATTCTATAAATAAGGTAGACACAAAATAAACATTATTAATTTATGAACATAAAATGTCATGATCTGTAATCAATTTTCATCGCAACTTTTGAATTTGCTGGTTGATGGTGAACACATTTTCAATGCAAAAAAAAATAAAATACGTAATATTATAACATTTATGGCTGTCAATATTACGGAATATAAGATTTAATCTCATTCCACTGAACACATGTCATCGCAGCGGAAAAAAAAATGATTTTTACTTTTTACGGAGAACAATTACTCACTCCATTCCGATATTTTCAGACAATGGATTACGTATGCTATCAGAAGAGAGTAATATTCTGAAGGTTATAAATTTCAATAGTATCAATTTATTATCGGAAAATTCATTCGTTAAGTATTTCACACAAACCTAATACAAACAATGATATGTCCTTTTTGAATTGGACTTTATTTCAAAGTTGCAAAAACAATTATTCAAAAATATACAATCGTTTGGTCGAAGTTTACAAATAATCTCTATTCGGTATATGCGAAGAATGGAAAGAGGAATGCTTCAGAATCTATAAATTTAACTGCGAAAACAATTGTATAATTTATTTTTTCTTTCTTACGCTGGAACGACTTCATTACGATGGTTAAATAAACAAATGAAATGGTCCCAAAACCATGAAAGCTGTTTTCCATAGAAGATTGTTTAAAATAAAAGTGGCTGATGATGAAAAGAATTACTCGCAATTTAGCGTCAAACTTCCAATACCATATTTGATCAAAGAAGCGGGAGGCCGTTTCGACGGGTTAGGGTACACAACATTCTGTCCCACTCCCGTCAACGTAGTCGACTACGAACGCCCTCTTGCACTTCTTTACCACCACTGAATATATGCTAGAAGTGCAAGTGAGAGGGAAATAAATCCGAATGTTTTTTAGCAAGGAAACGAGGTGGGGGTTAAAAGCTTGTGGTTGTATGAAGGAACAGCGATCTACCACTCTGTGTGACATCACGCTTCATTGTTGGAGGTTTACGTCATTCCCCGCAGTGTATTCGGTGTGTGTGCGACTCCCAAGACGCACACGTTAAACTTGAAAACCCTCACTATATTACTTTTTTTTTTATTTCTTATTCTTCCTTCTTCTCTTCAACTTGTTCCGCCTCCCTCCTCTTGTAAACTCTCATACTCCCTTCCACTTGATTCTATCTGTCTCTCCTTTCTTTCCATCTCCCTCTCCTTTCTCTTGGAGTGTGAAAATGTCGTTACCTTTGCAGTAGTCAATTTCATACTATCAAGAAACATATATATTTAATCAAGGAAGTCATCTCTGTAAGCGTGCGAAATCAATGAAGTGAGTTTATATGGAAATATATATATATATATCCAGATTTTTTTTTATATACTTTTTACTCTGATTTTTCATCCATTTCACTGATAAATTTTAGGGATTTATAATGAAATTTGGCGCAATGTATCTGTTTCTTGAAGGTTTCGTATTTGAAAGACTTTAATGTACGAATTCACCGAGAGGTTGGATGAGAATATTTAAAATACGGAAGGAGAGGGTATTCACTCAGTTTCTAGATGTGTATGTACATTATCGGTCGATGGAATGGAGAGGGGAAAGTTGTTGAATTGTGTGGACTATTATAAATGAGTGACAGTGTGGGGGGATCGTTTATAAAAGACACTGAATGTAACACTCAATCCTGTCACTCTTGTTTTCACACATTTTCCTGTGTGTCAATTCTTTTGTCAATCACATTCGCAAAATATTTGATCCGGTGAATTTTATTGAGAGAATTGCGTAAATCCATGTGGAAGTTAAAACATCAAGTTTTGTTCGTATGAGTTTTTAGTGGTAGAAATGTTTTTTTTTAACATTTCTTAGGAGTCCGTTGATGTGGATTGGTGGAAAGAGGCGATGAATTTTGGATGGTTAGGAGAGTACTGTGCAGCAGTACAACGCCGTGTGTTGGTGTTGGTGTTTTCATTTAAATATAACGGTGTGTATAAATAAGTATGAGCAATAGCGGGAGTACGCAGAGCTTACACAGTCGTTGATGATTTTGCGGTGGCAACTCATACAAACAATTCAACTTATTTTATTGTGAATCGTGATGTTTTGTTAACTGTAAAACAGTAATATATATTGTTTGAATTCAAAGAGATTGCGATGGATAAAAATGTTGAAAAGAAAAAACAGTAGGATTTGATTGGAAGCAAGTTGGAGTTTGCAGTTTTGACTCGTTCGTTAATTATGACAGTGTTTTTTTAAGATGGAAGGAGTAAAAGGAAGTTTGTTATCGATGACAGTGTTTACAGTTTGTATGTATATATGCAGCATCGAGGCCCTGCCAAGGTTAGTTGATGGGCGTTAATGCTATATCATGCTATATCGTCGTTTGGATGTGATCAGGGCCAATGAACGACTTAGCTCTGGTTGACATTCTCCAACGATATACCGTTTTGTTAGTTCAATTCAATTTATAAGAGGGAACATTATGAAATATTGTTCTACCAAGTTATTACAATTATTCCACTGATTGCATGGTGGGTTTATATTTTCTCAATTTTTTCTTGATGCGAACATTTTTTTTTTTTTGTTGATAGCAGGAAGGCTTAACATTTTTGGTTTTTTTTTTTCGGCGGAACAAGTGGAAAAATCTTGAACCACAGTTTTTAAATACTCTTTATGAAATAATGGGGGCAAGGTTCTCGTCAGTTTCTGTCAAGGTCCACCCAAATTGCCGGACTCCAATTTTGTGTCAGTTGAGTTGAATGAATACTTAAATTCAAGCGGCATACTTTAATCGCTTTATCACTGATTTGTTTTCCTACTTTGTTTTTTACCCGGCATTTACCATATATTGCTGTTCCACTTTTGTCTTTGTCATTTATTTGTCATCTCGCAACGTCAATGGCTTTACCACGTGCCACGTGCTTAATTCCGCTTGAAAATTGATTTATTAATCATGACTAGATGTTTCGTATTTAATATTTTTTTTCTTTGCTTGTTGACAATGTTCCACAGGCAAATCGGATATACGTGATGCAGTTAGATTTATCCTGGGATTGGCGGCGTGAAATGCTGACACGCGTAGAGGACTGCTCTGCGAACAGTCCTCATCGCTCTATAATGATTGGTGATTTGGGCGAATTCACGAAAAAACTTGCACAATTGTGCGGAAGAGGGTAATTATTTTCTGTTTTTATTTTACTAAGTTATCTCATTTCTAGTTGCTCCTTTTATTTCATACTTCCTAAAGATCCTCAATGAAGTCGGCAATGAAGTTTGTATTCTTTATTATTGTTGTCTTTTGACTCTTATAAACGTTCAAAATCTCAATATAGGCACATTGATTTTTGTCCTATCTTCACGCAAAGAAATGTGGCTGATTTTATTCCCCAGATTTTCCTTGTTTTTCATTATTCTCCTAATAACATAACCCACGTTCTTAGTTTCGCATTTACAAGAAAAATTTAATTACACCGTACAATTATGATACAAAATAGTATATACACTTTAGAAGCAAAAATGGGATTTCGGCACGTACGCTTCTCCCGCAGTCAGCATTAAAGTTCAATAGCACAAATTTTGTTTTTGACCAATGACCGTAACAGGCGGAACCAAGAGTATTTCGAGCTTCCGTATTCGTCGGAAACGAAATTTATGCCCCGGTAGTCTATATTATTTCATTTTATTACGTGCCATCATCATTTATATTCGCATATTTTCTATGAATAAAATAAGTTCTAAGTTTAGGTCTCAAAACATTTTCTAATCATTGATTTTATATTTCCGATGTTGTTCTCATCCTGAAATTTATACATTTAGATCTGAAATAGCAATTGAGCTACAAAAAACTCTTTGGTTATCTTATTATTATCTTGATAATATTTATGCAGAGTTATTCTATAATTAACTGTTTTACATGGCTATTAATTTGCACGTTTACTAAAACTTATCATATAATCAGTGTATTTTATCGTTATTTCAGGCTGACCATTTATTTTTTAGGGGATATACAGCACGAGTACACCAACTTAATGTTGGAAAGTTGTTAGGATGCCGAAACGCGACGTCCTGTGTCTTATTGCAAAAGGATTTGATATTTCAAAGTACGTTTTTTGCTACTATTTACATGATGAGTCCATTATTGCGTTGTATTATCGTTTGAAAACTGATAGTTTCTAGAGATTCTTTTTAATTATTTTAATTGCAATTTGTAATTTGTAAAGATACTAGTAAAGTTTGTATTGTAATATCAAATCCACGTGCAAAATTATAAGAATGATCAGAATTTAATTCAAACGTCAATTAATGATTATTTTCATGACTCAATAACGCCTCATTGCGGATTAATTGTTTTTTTTTGTTCAAAGCAGAGCAGCTGTTCCTATGAGCACCTCTCATTCGTTACACTGTGATGGAAAGGATAATAATCATAAAATTATCCCAAGTTAGTATTTAATAGAATAATCTTTAGATCTTTCATATTTTTTCCTGCTTTGCTACATAATATTCTTTTTACATATTGCAGAGAGAATGGCATATGAGGTATTCTTGGGGGGATCCTGTAATCCCACTACATGGAGGTCAGAAATAGCCATACCAACTCTCCAGAGACTTGGCATTACCTATTATAATCCAGTAAATTTTCTGAAAAATATATTACCTATTAAATAGCAGCTTTAACGAAAAAATAACGAAACGTGAAATTAGCAGTTCAAACTAGCCTCGTTTGTCAACAATTTCTGAAATAAATTCTTATAAGATGAATCCTTCGATTTTTAGAAATGCGAATAATAGTAATAATCATCAATAATTCTTCGGATTAATTATGAGTCATGGGTTTTATTGTTCGAAAATGAGGCAATTATAGTATAATTCTAATTGAGTTTTTGCTTTCTAGCAAGTCTCGCAGTGGGGACCGGAGTTAATAGCTCAAGAGTATGAAGCGAAACAAAACGCACGTGTTTTACTCTTTGTAATAGATAATCAAACGCGGAATACTGCTAGTATAATAGAAGCAGCACAATTGGCAGCTACAAGAACCGATTCTCTGGTCCTAGTGGTTTATCCATATCGGCAGGGACAAACAATATTAGGTGAAACTATTTCGGCACAGTAAGTTGAAGCGATGACGTAATTCATAATATCGGGAGATGAAAAATGGAAACTGTCCTTGATGTTGTGTTGTGCTGTGGAAAATGGAGGGACGGAAACTTCTTAATTAATAATATATGTTTTCAGGGAATATTATGATTTAATGAATGGGCTATCGGTACTTGAGTATTTTATGGAGAGACAGAGAATACCTATCTTTGAAAACGTATCTGGGGCTCTCAATGGCACATCTAAGGTAGTCCTCATTTTAATTTTAGTCATTATTAATGGTATTGGTCAATTTATTCAATTAATTATCAATAATAACCTTATCCATCCTGTCACTGGATTATACTGAAATTTTTACCCTGTCTACTGAAACATTTTTACTGGAACATGGTATAATTAACTCATCAGTATGTCATATCAATGTGAGACCAGAATATTCTATTTGTTGTTTGCTAAATTTTATTATTATCCAGTAGAAATGTCGGAAAATTAGTGGTCTCGACGTGAAAAGAAAGCTTTTGGCAGAAAAAAATTGAAAATAGATTATATGGTTTTTTAAAGATTCTACGTGAAGCTATTAACGTTCAAGATTTGAATCAAGAGGACGGTATGAAGTCCACACGGATTTCTCCCACTCAAAATGGAATTGATATAATGTATGTATTTGTATCAGTATATCTCGAATTGTTTTTTTGCATTTCGTTCCTGACACTGGGCACTATTGTCCTTGCCGTTTGGATAAACATGTACGCATTTCATTTTTTTTTTCAGAACACTGCGGGAAATATTCCGCTCCATTGATACAAATGATACAGGTTGCATCCGTTTGAGGGATGTGAGTAAGCAGCGAAAAAAATATTCTCTTTCCAATTCCTTACTCTCTATTGGAGATTGTTTAATCTATAATGTAAAGTAGTTATTGATTTTTGTCATTTTACGGATCTTTTCAGGTCCGGATTGCTATGCAGTCATATGCCAATTGCAATATTTCCGTTTCGGAGTTTCTCAGTATCGTGAATAAATCAGGTAATACGAACAAAGGGCTTACTATGTATCGCCGAATGAATTAACGCAACCAAACAAGTCATTTCTACAAATGTTCATTTATAAATTTATAAATACTTTGAAGTTTATACAAATCATTCTAATTTCTTTTCCATGCCGTCACTTTACGTGTATAGATTTCTGACGATATACTGATGATATATATTGTTGTGATTGAATTAGCAGTTGGCCTCCGAATGGACTCGTTCTTTTGACGCTTATTTTCCTATTCCTCTCTTTCTTTCTTTCTTTCTTTCTTTCTTTCTTACTTATTTTATATTACTACACGACAGTCCGCGTGTGCCCCACACGCGCATTTATTCGAAATGTTTGAGATTTAGCCACGACGTCGTGGTGGCGAGTCGGTTTCGTCTTACGGATCTTACCCTTGAAAGTAATGGTCTTTTAAAATTTTTTGAATTTTCAAAATTTTCCCGGTCCCCTCCCGCCCATCTCAGACGCAATTTGTCCAATAATTTACAGCCTCCCTTGGTGTCCGCAAGATTTTGACTCTTCTAATCTTTACTGGAATTTAATCCTCCGCGTGAGGATCGGTACCATGTTGTACACATCCTACTTTCCTATAATTATTCCAAATCATGATTAATCATGAGGGAACAATCTGTTTTTCAGGTCAATTAAAGATCCAGTAACTGTTGCCGAATGGTCATTTCGCTGAACATGCCAACGCTCAACTGAATCGTTCGGTAACTATTAACGAATATTCAATTGCTTTTAATTGAACAGCGCCATTCGGTAACAGTTAATCTTGTTAATATCAACCGAATTCTTTTTTTTTTCTTATATCCCGGCCCTTTCCGCCCTCTCTCTGGCTAATTGGCCCTGTCCAACCGTATGCATGCGGCTGTGGATCCTACACTGTACCGTATTCACTCTCCTTTAGAACATAGGAGTGACATGGGAAACCACAGGAAAAACCATTTCGATACAGGCCGTTGCTCTGTTAGAAACCTCCCGCTCACCGGTGCCTGTGAGAAATTTTATTCAACGGCGAATCGAATCCTTCAGAACACTAGGCTCGCACCTAGCCACTGAGATTCCGAATTCATCGATGTGCAAAAACTCAATATTTTTCGAAAGTGTTATTCCAACACTCAGTTAAAAAAATGACGGATTAATTAATTATATTTTTTAGTAAGGTGATATCTCATTACTGTATTCTTCTTCCTTTTCAGTTTCTATATACTTGAAAATTCCGTAGTATAAATTCGGTTTTGTTCTGTTGCAATTTTTACAGAGACCCATGAAAATTTAGTGAGGCATTTAGCGTCAAAGGAAGATCCATCTGAACAATGTATCAATTTCGAGCAGTTCTGTCTACTTGCCGGTGAATGGAGACGCCCCAAAGCCAATGGAACACACTGTGAAAGTGAGATACCTTCAGTATGGAGTATATTATCTAGGAAGGCTACGAAATTCCTTCATGGAGCTTTTGTACATCCCTTTAATCAATTTTTAGGTATTTTAATACAAAAAAACGAAAGTTTACAAACCACATTTTGTGGATGATATTTCACAAATAGTTGAAAATTTCTAAGTTTATGCTGATGATTTTTGACGAAAATGAACAGCTATTAGCTGTTTTTTATTCTATTTTGCAATAGATCTCTTAAGCACTGGATCCATATACATCATACAAAATTCTGTGTATATATAGCCATATATTCCTGGTACATTCAATCACATATAAATATTAGTATATATATTTATTCCGTGAGAGCTGCACGAAAATCGTAGTAAATTTCCGATAAGACTAATAATAATATTGAGAAAAAATGATGATAATTATTTATGGAATATAAACAATGCATAATGAGATCGATGATTTTTCAAATCAGATTGGACGCATTCATTGGTACTTGAATCAGACAAAAGAGACTTATACATTGGCCTAGTTGGTAAGGATCTGCTTTGGTTGGAGTCATCAGCCGTACCGTTAATAAAGTAAGTAATAAGTGTTGAGGAAAGTGAAAGAAATGTATAAGATTTTGATGTATAATTAAAATAGGTCAAAGGGTCTGACGTTGCATCGTCCACATATGAACGAGTACACAGTGAGACAATTACCTCAAGAGTTACAACATATGAAAAGGTCACGTGTTATTCTACTGATAATGCCTCAACACTCGCGGGGCATCGCCATCGCGGCATTGGCAGCTTACTCAATTGGGCTTCACGCTAAGTTGGTTCTATGCATACAACTTATGCCGGAAAGTTGTGTAGTCTCTGGTGAACAGGTAATTGAAGATGATAGATTTGTAGTGAGTGACAGATATGCATCTACTTTGAAGAATTTCATTTTAGTTTCATCGTTAATATTTTTTTTCTAGCTAACTGAGCAAGCCGTGAAGGATTACAATCGGGGTAGAATGTACCTGTCAGATTATGCGACGCGCGAAGGTGTACCTGTATTTCAGAATATCGCAGATGCTCTGCAACATGCGATACAGCTAGTTCAAAGTTCCTGCTGAAGGGAACGAAAATCTATTTTCATTTACCTTCATCATTTTTTTTTTCTTCTCTTGAGAAAAAAAAATCATTATTAATTTTTTTTTTTTACGAATCAGAAATATTCGACGAATAATTTATTTTTACTCCGACTTACTTCATTCATCAACTGCCTCCCTCCACTGCACTATTAGGACGCGACTTCTTTTAACGAGATGAGGACCATCATCTTTTATTGATTTTGTACATTTTAAATGTTTATTTCTTTCAAGTTTATTTTTTCAATAATTTTTAAATTTTATTGTATTTTACGGATAATTTAACATTGTTGCTATTTGTTTCTATGGCATTGATTTTTTAAACTCCCCTTATCAGATCTGGGAAAACATGTAACAACTATCGTTCTTAAGTATTTAATTAGTTGGTTGAATGGGTGGAAGGATTGAAAGCGTCAATTTATAAATTGGTTTGAATGTCAGGATTAGGGTTTTTTTTGTAATTTTCTTTTGCTCTCAGAAAAATCTTTTCGGTTGAGTGGAAAGACTGGAACAAGGGGAATTCATAATAAATGTTACCTCTTTTATACTAAGGCCCTCTATTTTGTTCCTGAGTTTTTGAAAATCAAAAGCAAGGCCTTGAAGCATAGAGAGAGGTTCTCAAGTTGGCTGTTTTCAAAGTTTGATGTAACTTAAGGATGGATTGCTATCTCCCTCATCCCTATGATTTTTTTTGCAGATTTTTTGCCGACTGTTGGAGCGTTGAAATATACCGTTTTTAAAGCTTATACGGAATGACTCGGTAACTTTCACATCTCGGGGTACCATTTTCCTAGAGTTTTCTTCATTTAATTTCATTGAACAATAATATAACTCAGAAACGGTATATTTATCGCATCGAACTAATCGACAATCCACGATAAATCAAGAAGACTTTAAAAATTGATGGGAAGACGAATCCCCATCCTTAACGTCTCACTCTTTTGTAATACCCTTTTTTATAACTAATTGAGGATTGATTTAATACGAATGTATATATTCATTTTAGCCGTCTCCTAACACGCTAATAATAATTCATCAATTATTAAAATGGTAAAAGAGAATACGAGAGAGTGAGAGCTTGAAGTATTGTCGATCGGCGTGGATGGCGGAATTGGTTTACTTCTTATATTCAACACATAACTGATTCCGATTAAGTTTTTCCATACTTTCTTTTTTTTTGTCAATGAAATTTTTAACAGGAAAAAACAATGGGAACATAAAATAAATTAATAATGACTTGAGAAAACAAAACGGAATTTTTCTATTCTCCCAGATCCTTATAACTACCTGTCGTGAGGAATAAGCGACGAATAAAATGGTTTTTGCTTTGCATTTTTTTATTATTTTTTTGCTTTAGATTTGTGTCAGAAATTTCCGCGACGTGTGTCTTCGGTGAACACGTTTTTAAATATATAATAAATATAAAATGGCCATTATTTCTTATTCTATATTTTGCTTTCAACACCTCTGATGCAAATAATTTATGAAAAGATATCAAACATTCCTTCAATTTGTTCTTATTGTTTTCGGCTAGTGGGAAATAGTGGAAACTGTATTAATACAAGTCTGCCCCAAACTCCCGGGGAAGTAGTAATGCTTGATTTTCTTCAACGAGAGAAGTACTGGTATCATAACAGGTAGGAATAAAGGAATGTAGACAGCATACCTGTAAAATTCAAAGCAAACAACACAATTGAAAAGTGCTATTGCAGTTTCATAAACAAATTTTTGTTAAAAAATAAAAAGAAATGTGTATTTTCAAATTTTACTATTATCCTAATCGTAATATAAAAAGACAAGAGGGAATTGATCTCGAAATATCTCGAAATATCTTGACTGAACGTAAGAGTAAGATCGGAAAGACAAAACCGACCCGTCACCTCGACCCGTCGTGGTTAAATCTCAAAGATTTGAAATGAATGTCGAATAATCCCGTGTTAATAAAGAAAACAAAACAAAAGAGGAATTGGAAGTTGAAGAAAAAGAGTCTTACTTTTGATCTTCAGGAAAGTACAAAAGTGCTAATAAGGAAGGATCCGTAAAAGCAGCTTCGGCAATTATAAATGCATCTTTGCTAAGTAGAAATCCTTCAGTCAGTCGTCCTCGTTTCAGTTCTTCTGCCGATTGATGTATGAGCTTAAGAGCGGTATTTATCCTATTACCAACAGTGTTTGTAATAACGATATTACTGATTTCTTCTAACAGCTGAGCTAATGATTGCAAAGTTAGTTTTGCGGATGTCAATTGTTCAATGGCACGAACACGAAACAAAGCATCCAATTCCCATTCTCTGGGTTTGGAATTGATAAGAGGGGCCACTTGAACCCCTAGAATTGTGTTTTCCTACAATAAAAGGCCATATTATCAATTTGTTTTAATTTTATGACGAGTGGACTTACTGGATCTGGGATGCCCAACAAGAGCCTCAGTTGTGCCAAGAATACTCCCATAATTGTTGCAGGACTACTATTGACTTCAAGAGACTCATTCTCTTGTAATGCTTTACACGCGTCAAATTCTGGATTCGACATTATAACTCCACCCCATCGAGGAGATAAAAATGCTTCCAAATTGTCCGATGATTTTGATCGGTAACCTTTTCGTGTGTAAATATAAATTGGCGCATTTTCACAGGGTACCATGTATATGACCAAGTTGATACAGGAGTGGAGACTCACCTGAGAAGCTGAATTTAAAGATTTTGGTGAATTGCATATCTAATTGTTATCAAGTAAATCTCATGTTACCAGTTTCAGAAACCGACCCGAATCTTCAACATTTCGCATTAATCCAGACGATCTCGTTGTCTTAAAAGAAGAAAGCCAATTAGCTTACCAATTTTCTTCTCTAACGGAGTTATCAATTGAGGTAGGACATCTTCTGGTAAGGCGTAATGGTGTCCCAAGCGGCTGTCATCAAGTAATTGTTTCGGCCTAACGTCGAATGGTATCAAATACAGCCACTGAGACTTGACTGAGAAATTTGCCACTGGGGCTAGATGATTTAGAAAAGGCTCCAAAAAATCTAAAAGAGAAAGCATAATCCTATTAAATGAGTGAGAAAATTATTTGATTAAACAATGGTAAAACCTTCAGCAATTTTCAGAAGATCCCAGTTGACTTTTTGCTTCTCAGGATCTGGATTTATTACGCTGAGAAGTACGTCATACGCTGGACTTGCTGGAAATCTCCTACGATTTTCTTCATCTAAACTGTATTTCGTGGGGTCTGTCAAAGCGTTTCGCGTTAATTCTAGAGATTTATCTCTCAAGAGTATTTTGGACAATATTTGTGCTAATTTGAGACCACCTGTTTTGCAAATTAAATTCCGGTTATTATTTCTTTTCATTTATATTCAACGGCAAGTAATTAGAGACTAAGAGGATAACATGAAAGTTGAACAATTGAATGGAAGTGAACATTAATATCGAAACATTAATGCTGTCAAATTGTTTTACTTGTTTCAGACGGGAAAAAGACACTTCGATTGGAGCCAACCAATACTTCGCTGAGATTCGGCGCTTCTAATAATAACAGCTTCCCCTCACCAACGTTGAACCCGCTGGCGATTTTCTCATGATCATGCAACGTAAATGCCGATCTTATGATCTCACTTGATATTATTTTGTAATTGAAATTAATCTCGTATAATTCTGAAAATACACTACACATTAGATTATGTTTGACAATTTAAGTAATTTTTTTAAAAATCCTAAAAGAAGAAGGAATCATGAAGCCCCGGTATTTTTTCAGAGCAATTCCATAATCCTAAAGGATTCACTCGCGAAAGCTAATGACATAAATTAAAAGTTTTAAATAAGCATCGAAGGATCAAGCAATAATTCAAAATCGACTCAGTCTTGATTTAGTTTCTGAAAGAATCTACAAAGAAGTAAACTCCTCAAATTTGGAGATACTTGATTCGGAATCAGTCATTTCGGCTTGCCAGGGAGAAAAGGGTGACACCCAGGGTAAAGGTACTCCCTCCAGGAGGATCTGTTAAACATGTTACTAAATATATGAGGATCACTCCCTCCACACCTTCGAAGCGCTGGACGAAGAAAATCAAAACGCTAACAGTCATAGATAAGTCACGCCTATTTTTTATCGAATTAAGCGAGTCTTAATTAAACCCTCGACCCCTGATCTTTCGGATTAATTAACGAAAAAAGCTAATAATCGGTTAAAGAGAGTAAATAATAACTAAGATAAAAGTAGATTTATTAAATTATCACATTTTTGTTCGATGCAAACTCACCAGATTTTTCGAATTCCTGGCTAATTTCCTTTCCTAATAATTCCGCTCGGTTTTTTGACGATGATGCAACCGTAATTTCACAAAGGATTTTTATATCAAGGTTGGATAAATCTGCAATTCCGGAATAAGGAAGAGCCACTCGGGTCACTGCGGTCGTATGCCACCAAAGGGGTACTCCAATACCCAACAATAGTAATGCAAAAGAAATACTGGCAATCGCTCGATATTTCTCTGAAATCAAATAGTAATTTATGTCATAAGGCTTGAAAAGTATTCTAACAAATTTAATCATGATGCGCGCCGAATTTTATCTAAGACTAATTTATATATATTTATTTATATTATATATTTATATATTTATTATATATTTATATATATTTATTTATATTTATTTATATTTATTGTTGGATTTGGGGGTTTTCCCCGAGTTCAAAATTCACTCTTCTAGAGTTTTTATATTTCCGGATTTAGGAAATGTTTATTTCTTTGTTGCTATGGGACCTTCCCTTTATGTTATAAAAAAAGGGGAAAGTCCCGGAGGGACTTTCTCATTGCGGGTTTTTCCAAAAATACATCTGGCGACCAGAGAGGGTCAAGAAAGAGAAAAATCCAAGGGTTGAGAATGGAAGGAGAAATTATATTACCCTTTGGAGAGGAGTGCAATGTGGGCCTTACTAGTAATCTTTAGTTAGTTGGTTGTAAGTCTTCGTTCAGTAAAGTACCTCTTAACTGTCTAGAGTCTTATAATATTGAAATAATAATTGTCAGTCTTAAAAATTCTCCAAGTGTTTATTTATTTCGATATCCATAATCCAATATTTATAATATTGTCCACATTTACATTGTAATCGCTCAGCCCGCGTATTTACTGGAAATGTTTGAGGTTTGAGGTTTCCAAATGTTGCCCCCCCCCCCCCTCACGGTCCCGAGGTAAAATTTGTCCAATAATTTGCAGTCTCCATCAATTTCTGCGATAATCCGCGAATTTTCGCGATTTTTTGAATTTTTGACATTTTTGAATTTTTCCAAATTTTGCTACGTCATAGTGGCGGGTCGGTTTCGTCTTACGGGGCTTATCCTTACGGTCATTCGAGATATTTCGAGATTGATTTCTATATTAGGATGTGTAAAAAAGCATGATTATATAATTATAATAATTGTAAAAAAGCATGATTATATAATTATAATAATTTTAAAAAAGCATGATCATATAATTATAATAATTACGTGAATTCATACATCATCATGATGACAATTACAATGAAAATCTCCAATGAGAATAATAATTTTATAGAATAAAAAAGGCTCTCATGTTGTCTAGCTGATAGACTCTAGCAAATACGAATATTTTTTGACTGAATAACGTATTTCAAAACCTGTTAAGTGAATTATTAATAAATATTTGCGAAACAATTGTTATATCTATCTATTGTTACATAGATTTTTTGTTACGACAATGGAGGATAATTCAAGAACAAGGCTTATAATCAGAACACATAAGGATGATCCCATAATGAACGCACCGCGAGGGACACGAAACTATAGCAACAATCAAAAATAATTCGAATGCAGCTGAATGATTATTTCATACATTACGTACGTTTTATGCTACATCTATTGTAGCAACACTAACTTCATCTTCCCGCAGAATGGAATGCATCCTGCAATTGGCGCATGCGCGTCATTGAACAATGTAACTAGGCTGATTACAAATTAACCCCATTGTTAGATTTATTTTTTTATTTTAGTATGTAATCACATGCAAAATAAATATTAGACGAGTAGAAAAAAACGGGCTCTTCAACGACAAGTGTTTCTATCACATAACGATTAAAATTCGGTCAAATGAATTGGAGAAAGACTAAATTAAAATTCTTTTACGTCAAGGTTTAGGAATCCATGAAGAGATCGGCATTCTTTATATCTTCGGGATTCTTCATCAACAAGAAATACTTACATCATTACCTGATAGCATAAAATTTTGTAGTTTTTCTCAAATTTTTCCTCTAATCATGTAGCTAAGGGATAAAATTTATGTTACTCAAAAGTTATAGTTGTTCAGTGGAAAAATACACTGGGAAAAACAAATGTCTTTAACCAATAATATTTACTAACCACAAGAGAATATACAATAACAAATGTTGTGAGATTATTTGAGACTACACAGTAATGGTGAGATTAACTTGTAGAAATAATTCTTGGCAAAAGAAATGTTTTTTCTCAATGTAGGAATGATTGTTGGAGAATCATATTTTTTCTGTATCGTCTTCATGATTATTAACAGGAGACGTCAGCGTGGGATGGTAGGGTTGCCGGGGAATAGGGAAGGGGCCAAAGAATATGATTCGAGTCAACTGAAAGTCCCACAGTACTTGATCAGACGTACTCGACATTTGGCCTGTTCCACCGCTCGCTTGCAAGCTGTGTTCCTATTCTCTCAGGAATAAACTCAACGCCAGTAAACATTGACCTTCCGTATGAAAATATTAATGAATAATATCAGATACCGTACTTGAAAGCAATTCGCCTAGTTTTAAACGGATTAGGCAATCTCATATCGATTATGGTTTGTGAATTGTTACCCGGTTTCGGAAATTAAACCAGCTCCATAAGCATAGCTATAATTCAATGTCAATTAATTAACAGCAACTGTCACAGCAACTCAAATGCAGGTAAACTTTGATTTAATTGATAATGTCATACGGAGGAAACAAAATCACGTGTAATAACTGATAATATAGTTCAATTGAAAAAGGTTATTGATAATTGGAGTTTTCAAATTGGATGAGACACGTAGAGCTCATTGAAAAATACTCAGAATGGTTTCTTATTGTCGATGTTAACTCAAGTTTTCTACATCAATCGGTTCACAGAGAATTTTCTCTAAAAATATGTTTATGAGAATGATCAACTTTCAGAGGTTTTGAGACGCTAACATTGAACTCTTTAGTCTGTTGAGGGCATCGATTCCGCTTTGAATAAGTCATTGCACTGAGAACAATACACTGAATTATATTAGAGACGTTTATTTATAAGGAACTTCATCGAATAGGTCCCAAAATGACACAGTCAGGTTTATCAGATGGTGATTTTTTCCCAAAAATTCGATTTGAGTTTTACTAAGGTAGATCGTTGCAAGGCCTGAATGACATATCAACTACGTCGTTTGAAAACCCACAATTATGCGTTATAAGTGAGGAAGCATCATTTTATCACCCTACATTAGATAGATTATGTGAGGTATATCATGTGAAATCAGCCAGTCATTAACCTTGATTAGATATATGTCAAGAGCCATTTCCTGCATTTTTTTCACAATTTTCTAACATTTTTCATTCAGACGAGCGATTTTGATAATATATATATAAAAGAAAATTTTCGTCTATCACTGGCTTTCGAAATATCTTTTTTTTATCTCTACACATACTTCTTAATGGCCCACACAGATATATGATTTTTGAATGACTTCATATTCACATTGTTGTGAATGTTCTCATTGAGTTCGTTCAATGAATTCTTCCCGAACCGATCAATTTTTAATTAACTAATTTATTTCAGTCACATCTATCAATGATTGTAGACAAATTTTTGACGTATTCATGAAAAACAATTGATTGATTATAGCCAGGTAATCCAAGATTACTCATTATATGATAAGTCAATCTCGGTTGAACAGTTGTGTCAGGCTTAGTCCGAGCTTGCTGTGTCAAGCTTAAGGAGTTATCCCGAAATTTTGGGAGGTACAAGGAAATATACGAATTTAGTGAAAATCCTACGTAAGATATTTCAATGACTTTGGAAATTGTTAGTAATTAATTTTTATTTAATCCACCATTAACCCGTCCTTTTATGGGAATTAATACAAGGTTACTGAAAAAATTTCGTGGGTCAATAAATATTATCGTAACCGATAAACGGTATAATTTTCACGACGATTAAATGAATCATTTGCATTAAATCTGAAAAATGGAAGTTAACGACTGACCGTATTTTCTGCACGCGCAACTGAAAGCTATGGCAACATATCTCAAGGACAATGCACGCGCGCAGAATTCAAATATCGATCATACACGAAACCTCTTGAATTATTTAGAATTTTTGGGACTTTCGCCTGGTTCAATAATAACAAACGCAATCATCAATGAATGAATACTCATCATATTCAAAAGAACATTAGAAACATTATCAACTTCGATCAACGTTCACTACCTAGAGATAAATGGTACTGAAAACACAGGGTAAATATGGGGTTAATGCTAGAAATTTTCAGTGGTTTCAGTTTTCACGAGTTGCTAGCAATGGGGTACTAGATTAGTAAGGCTGTAGCCTGTGTAATGAAGTTAGCATAACTATTTTCCCTGATTTGAGGAGTGGGGGAAATAGCTACAAGTGGTGACTACGTGGAGTGGGGGTACCCATGGAAGTAAAAACTTATGTTTAGTGTACCATAGTGTAAATTTCTATCGGGCCTCGTTGCCGCTGTTAGCCAACAACTATTTACATTCTTAACTAATTGTAATATTGATGTTGTTGACTACCTTAACGAAATTTATTCAGTTTTATCGTAGACCTGCATCATTCATTTGCACTGCTTTTGCTGATGCTGTTTATGACATCCGAAGGTCACCGCATTGTAATTTTTACAAAACAAGAGAAACTTGTGGTGGCTAGATTGTTACCGAAATATTGCCATAGTTTGGTAAATTAACAGTTTTATTTCGCGCATCACTAATTATATTATTCGAAAATAGAACCTGGGAAGAATGTTAAGGTGTTTGTGATTACGTCGAAAGTTCGTTGTCTGTTTCAGTGATTTGTGAGTATGTTACGCAGTGAGATGGATACCAAAATAAATATGGATACTGGAAGAGATGAAAACACTAGAGTGTGAGGAAAAATGAAAATATTTCTTCATTGTTTTGATGTTTGCAAGTATTAAAATTCACTGTTTTTTTTCTAGACCCTTCGTAAAAGATATCAGTTTTATAGGACTTCTTGGCAGATTTATCTTCATATATTGGAGAACTCTTGTGCTAATAATATGGCCAATTGCACTTCTTCCTTTGGTGATTTTTAATGACGGAGAGGTAAAAACAATTAGTTGATACAAAAATGACACACATTAAAATATGTTTATTCTCGGTATCTTATCTTTTAATCTTCTCTTTTATTAATGACTGATATGAAAGATATCAGAGCTGTTTTCATATTTCAAATTTTTCAACTCCAAATGACGAATAAGCAATATTTCATTGCTCAAAATATACAAAAATTCCTTTCGGAAGTCATAAAAATGTGGGGTCACTGGATGCAAAAACAAAAGAAATAACCTTTGAAGATCCAAGAGACAAACGGTTTTCAAATTCTCCTATTGAAAAATTTACCTGTAAAATAGGTGTTCTGGAATGTAATTTATGATATCTGGAATCGAGTACACCACTAAATTGAGAGCGTAAAATATTTACAAACAAAGAAATTTCGGGGCTTGGAATCGTAAGTTACGACTCTGATTATATAAACGATGTTTAACACGTGGGATACCTGTTTTGACCCAAAACTTGCCAAGGTTGGACTGCTCTCAAACCAAGTTTGGGCCACTTGCTAGTTTCTATCTGGGCTATTTTCAGTATTTCACTGATTTTTCTTCGTCTTTCTGTATTATTTGGCTCTCTATGCTTTAAAATCCACATCTTTACCTACTGCGAAAATCAGCGAGTAGTCTTTGGAAATCTGTATTGAAAATTATTTGTTCTAGTCCGATATTAGTATTAATAAAACTCCATAGAATGATTATTAAGTTCCCATCATGGAAACATGATGAAAAATTATTTTTCATTGAGGAGAACATTTTTTTATTATTCCAGATGTACAGATGTCTATATGTTGTTAGTCTGATGGCTATGTTTTGGGTAACAGAAGTTCTTCCATTACCCATTACTGGCATGATTCCAGTAGTTCTTTATCCATTAATGTGCATTCTTAGTACGTCAAGAACAGCTGATTGTTACATGAACGATACAACAATGATGTTCTTTGGAAGCCTCATAATCGCGGTAGTTATAGAAAATTCAGGACTTCATATGCGAGTAGCACTGTTGATCATCAAAACAATAGGCTGCAGTCATAGAAAGTGAGTTGATACGACAAAGTATTGAATTTGTTTCACTCCAAAATTCATCAACAAAATTGAATTCTGCAGATTGAGTTTGGGATTATTCTGTGTGACCATGTTCATCTCTATGTGGATCTCAAATACAGCGGCGACTGCTATGATGATTCCAATCATGGAGACTGTTCTCGTAGAACTTGAGACGGTAATATTAATACATATATTATAGATGATAGTGATCCGCATATTTTGATAGTATCACGAAGCTATCAGTAGCCCGGTGACATGGCGTAGTGGTTAAGGTCGTTGCCTCACAAAGGATCCAGGTTCGATTCCTGGTCGGGTAGAATGGTGAAATCTAACCAGCTTTAAAAAGTCCTGATCAATCGCCACATAGTCTCATTCGACTCAAAGCGATATAAAATAAGCATTAAAAGGAGCTATCAGTAAAATTGCTTCAAACACTGACTCCATTCATTCCAATTACTTGCCTTACGCCTCAGGATCGAAGAATCCATTTTTCGGGGGTGAGCAGTACTGTCTAAACTTAATGGAAAATTCATCATCTTATTGAATTCATATGGAGATAACTGCAAGATTAAAATTAAAAAATAGTATGCACTTAATGGAGCTTTGTTAAGGCAGTTCTGTGAGTACATCATAAGTCAAATTAGAGTACTGACTACCGACTTTGACTAGCGCGGTACTTCGGTTTGATAACATTGCTCAATGACTTGTGCGTGTATGTGATGCATTTCGGTGTGTGTTGTATTGGTGCCGCATCCAATGAGAAATTCTCAGGACTTAATTTTTTTGATGATGAACTGATTATTCAACTATGCACTATTCTTAGAAAATTAAAAAACAATTCTACAAATATATCCCATGCGTATCTCGAATTGTCATTTCCTTTTGATATGATAATGGAGCGGAAAAAATTTTTTCTGTATATCCCATACCCGAACTTATTAACTTATACAATTTTTCTCTGTCCTAAATAATTAGCAAGGGCTTGGACGTATGTTCGAAGCGGACAACTCTACAGAGGAAGGTCCAGACAGGTGAATTATAAAATAAACTAATAACACTAAATAAAAATCCATAAAGACAATTATTCTAAAAAATATGGTTTTCAGACCCAAGCAACCGACTCACACAACTATGGTTTATTACTTGTCTGCTGCTTATGCTTCTAGTATAGGTGGAATAGGCACACTTGTTGGGAGTGGAACAAACTTGACTCTTAAAGGAATTTATGAAGAGTAAGTGGGTAGCATTTAATTCTTCTCTGATGGAGACAAACGAATGGACCCGGCAGAAATGTAATATTTCTCTCCTTGAGTGACAGAATCAAATTTTTCATTGATGAGATCGCCCGCACGTGCTCCGCACGCGTGTTCATTCGAAATGTTTGAGATTTAGTCACGACATTATCCTTACGGTCATTCGAGATAATTCGAGATCGATTTGCTTTTCTTTATATTAAAATTAGGATTTGTATTGTCAAATAATAGAAACTTTCTTTCTTATAGACGATTTAAAGAGAGCCCAGGTATAAATTTCGCTTCTTGGATGCTATATGCAGTGCCGGCGATGCTCCTCATGGGTCTTCTCACATGGTTATGGCTACAAATAATGTACATGGGCCTCTTCAGGCCAACTAGTGAAGACGCAAAAGCCATAAATATTGGGGCTCAAGGTGAAAAGGTTGCTGCATCAGTGATTGAGCAGAAATATAAAGAATTGGGACCAATTACGTGGTATGAAACAATAGTGGGCTTTTTGTTCATTGGTGTAGTACTACTATGGTTCTTTAGGGAACCCGGATTTGTTAGGGGATGGCCCTCGTACATTACAGACTTGTAAGAAATTTTATTCACCATTGACTAATAATTAAAATTAGGGCCCCAATAGATCAATCTCAGACTCAAATCAAAATTAATGCAAATTTCTGAGACTTTCTCTCTCCTTTGACTAGTTTTTTCGTAAACCCAGATTTGAACTTGAGATTTTTCTATTAAAAAAATTGCACGAGCTACACAATTCTTAGGTATTTCTCGAAAACTTCGATTGACATCAATCAAAGCTACCAGTTCATCATGAAAAATCCATCCCATAAAAACTCACTTTTTTTACCCTGTTAAACTAAATACTCGTAAACTCTCGGATAATCTCGAACACTAAGCTCAAATAATACTAAATAATACTTAGTAATACATTAATGGAACAAATAGTAAAAATTCGCATGAGTTCATAAACGTAGACTAATTAAAATAATTGTTTTTTACTCTATACTAATTACAAGAATGGTTGCTTCCTATTTTAGACCAGTTAAAGACTCAACAGCTGCAATCGGCCTTACGATTCTCCTCTTCATCATTCCCTCAAAATTGGACTTCTTAAAAGCTTTCGATAAAGATCCAACAAAACGGCCAACAAAGCCGGCGCCAGCTTTAATTACATGGAAGATAATAAATGAAAGAATGCACTGGAGCCTCTTGTTCGTTCTCGGTGGTGGCTTTGCTATTGCTACTGGAAGTACCGATTCTGGGTTATCAACAATGCTTGGTGAATCGCTCTCTGGACTCAAAGGACTCAATGAAATAATGATACTCTTGATTGTTTGTATATTCGCGGAAACCGTCACAGAACTTACGGCAAATGTTGCTGTTGCCAATATTATACTGCCAGTATTGGCAGAGATGGTAAATATTAATACACTCGTTCCTATGATATTGAGACATTCCAATAATGGTGCCATTGTAATTTTGTTTAATTGTTGCAGTGCGTAGCTATTCAGATTCATCCCTTGAAATTAATGCTACCAGCTGCTCTCTGCTGTTCATTTTCATTTCATCTCCCTGTTGGGACACCTCCAAATGCCATTGCAAGTGCGGCAGGTCGCATCAAAACGAAAGACTTCATCATCGCAGGTATTGGACCTAGTGTCATTACTCTGCTCATTGCTGTTTCAACTTTCAGCACCTGGGGAACCTACGTCTTCAATCTTCACCAATTTCCGGAATGGGCGCATCCAAAATCGGAATAGAAATTCGATGTTAACGGTTATGAGTTCTCTCATAAATAAAAAATACGAAGTTACTTTTAACTGAATTCCACAACCCCCTACTCAATCTACACTCTAGGTTCAGAAGATCATTTCCTTGAAAAAACATCAAGCGGCGTTTTCGGTGCGTTGTTTGTTAAGTTAATGTAATATTAAATAATGTTAAGCGTTGTGTTCCTGAGAAATTTTTACGGTTACCCTTCGCTAAGCGCTGAATAATTTTTATTCAGCCACGAATAGACCAAGATAAGATGACTCTTAATGAAACATTTGTTGTTTGTTTGTTCTGCATGATATTCTACCACAAACCGCATACCTAGACCACTGCCTATTGAAATTTCCCATTAGCTCAAAATTAATTTCAGCAATCGAAAATTTAAACCCGAAGTTAACGTCAATTTTACCAAAGGTTTAACTACCTTTGACTTGCCCAAAAATTGTTTCCAAAACAGTTAAACATATAAAAACGTGTTTGTAATGGAAAAATTCATTTCTTTACGTTTATCATGGACCTAAACATTCAAACATCATTCTAATTCTTCTTTAATAAAACTATTGGAGAATCGGTGAAACATAAATTAATCGAATGATAATGTCAATACGGTGGTTGATCAATAAAAAACTATCCTCCAGATTAATTACGTAGAAATGGTTAACCCTAGGATGCAATTAAAACAGACAATCAATTCTCCGCTGGGATTTACTTGCCTCACAAGCTGTGGTGCTAACAAACCTAAGTTACACATTATCATGTCTTACTTCACAAAATTTCAAGGATTTACTGACATTTATCCTTTTGAAGCCAAGCAATTACTTGAAACTTGAACGCTTACCATCAACAGGATCATTTCTGGGAATTGTCTCAGGTACGTCAGCCATATCATCAAATGAATTTCAAGTCTTGCAATTTCCTTCAACTCCACACAAATCAAAAATTTTCCTTACTCATTACTGTTTTTCTGTTAAATTATAATTATCATTAAAAATCCACTGAAAAATCACAGCCTTCCGCGAGATATAACCTCTTCAGCAAACCCTTGAAGAAGAAATCTGCTAAAAATTTTTCCAATAATTATCCGGTATTTCACTACACTCGCCTTATTCATCCGGTATGATCAACTTTTCTTCTATATTTATTATACTCAAGTTAACAAAATCAATTTAGGACATATCAAATCATTTAAATGATTCGCCGCTGCATTTCTCATGATTTGTGTAATGAGACACTGTATATGTATATAAATAATAACAATAATAATATAAAATCATCTGGCGCGCGTTTTTTAAGATCGCCGCCTATGATTCAAAAATATTAAAATAACTGTCTCATAATAATCTACCCTGGTGCAACTAGAACTATTAACGGTAACAATGGACGAATTCGTATTATCTTTTAAAATACCTTATAATCACTCAAGGAACTAGCTGTGTGAGACTTAATAATGTTATTACACAATAAAAAAGGCTATGATCAATATCACAATGGTGTAATGAAAGAAGTAAACTTGTACTCTGATTTCTAATATTTCAGCAGCTAAACTGAGAAAATGAAACAATTTTTTCAAATATTGTTTCAACATGAGACAATACGCACATACGTACGTATGTAGTGTGCAACGAGTGACATTATGAATCAATAAACACGGATAAGATCGTGTGTGGCTAATCAAAATCAATCTAATTAACAGTTGGAAGGAGAGATTACTTAAATTGCGATATTATCCTCCCAGCCAATACGATATATAATTTTTCAATGATAAAATAATCAATTAAATTAGATTAAATGGATTAAATGAATGTCGGCTATTTACTGTGTAGTATATATATTATATATACGAATATATAAATTGGAGTGCGTGCGTGCGCAACTTTTAGGTTAGGAAAGAATTTAGTGAGGCGCGCCAGGCGGTACTAGAATCCTAGAACTAGCAACTAGTATAATTGTGGTGAAGGTGTATCTGATATTCTGATATTGGTATGTAATATGTATGTAGTCCTCTGGTGGTGTTTTACGTCGGTTACGTCTTCACCGTCTTGACGGTATTCACATACATCGTTTATCGTAAGGTAATCCGATTCGTGTATGACCAGTGACGTGCGCGTCTTTGACGAAAGGTAATCGTATGTACCTGACGGTGCGGGTGAAATCGAATAAACTTTGTGGTTCTCGTATCAATTCTACCCCGTCACTGGGTCATTCACCGTGACATCTAAAAAAGTACGAATATTATGAGAGTTAGGTTGCCTCCGTACGTCGATTGTTGCGAACAGTTTTGTGGGTAAATCTTGATACTTTTTTCAACCTTTCTCCATTTTTATACTTGTTTTTTACGTTATCATTGACAAAGATCCTCACCACGGCGCACATTTGTCTGTCTATGTATCTTTATTCAAAAACATAATAATAAACATGTACATCATTTGCTCGCATGCAGTCGTAAGACGATTCATGCAACGAATTCACCCATACGTACTATATTTCTTGATTCAAGTACTCTTCACCTTTTATTTGATTACTTGGAAGTTTTTCGCGATTGTGGGATTCCTACTAGTGCCAATCCATGTCTTCCTTATGTTGGAGATTGGAAAAAACTTCATGTGTCATTTTCATCGGAGCAGGTTTTTAGAGTGGAGGGATACGGTGGAATTAGGAACAAAAATATTTCTCCAGCTGAGATTACACATTTTATATTCTTTTACATTTACATACACCTTTGAAAATAGTTCAACTCCTTGATTTTTTGAATTGTTGAACCGAAAATATTTAATTAGTCAGTGGCAATATTTATTTCTGATTCCCGAGAGAATTCATTATTATACAATATGTGTGTGCACATATGCTACTGATATGGTTGTTTTGTCGAACTAGCTTATCACCCAGTTGTTTTAAGCTAACTGTCCAAGTATAATTGTTGCATGTGAATAGAGTAATTTTACGAAAATCCTCTGATATCCTTTAGTATGTTCATGTCTCGTCAATTTTTATTGACAGTACTCAATTATCTTCCGAAAAAAAAACCTAAAATGAAGGTTATTCAGGATATTGCGTTTCATTATTGTCAGTGAATTTTGTGGTTCTCTTTTACATCATAATTTCATTTCTAATTCCCTTATAACTGCAAAATTATCAAACCTCATTAATCTATTATAAAGAAAAAATCTTCGTCGATCTATTCTCATTGTTTTTCTCCGATTATTCTCCACTCCATTTTTTTCAGCATTGTCAACGCTCATCATTATTTAATTTATCGCAAAATCTAGTTCGAATAATTTTATTTAGATCCACTCGCCAATGATTCTGATGTAGGATGGACAATATTCTTTTTTCTAAATCCATCCATTAAGATTTCACTGCTTTTCCACACTGCCAAATTAAAATAATTCCTTACAGCACCAAAGGAAATAGCCACGAGATAGAAGAATTGTAGCAGCCAAGTTGGCAAATCTGAACAGAGAAAAACCTTAATTAGAACTACCAGAAACATAGGAGTCCATAGAGCAACTCCGGAAATTAACGATTTTCTAAAGATGCTTGACAGTTTCTCCATCTCCACAAGTGGGTTCTTCATACTGTGGGAAGATACTTTTCTTTTAATCTCCTGGACTTTATCATTAGATATCTCTCCTTCTTCAGCTTGACCATTCTGTGCTCCTAACCAACCAAAATTTGAGGGCTTAGAAGGACTCGATGAATTTGATCCTGTCGAGGCAGAAGATTCTATTCGTCCTGACATTTCTAATTTTTCAAGTACATTCGAACATACATAGTGAGAACGCATGTGTAATATTGTCGAGGCTAATATAGGTCCGAAGTAAATAAAAATCATTAATAAGAACAGATGAATTTTCAGAAAATTCACAGAGATGATGCACTGATTCTTCATGCACGTTGAAACCGTAAAGTTCCTGCCATCAATACCAATACTCGTGTCCACTACCAAAATTTGATCAGCAGTATCCATGTATGATCTCCCCTTTGAGACTAATTGTGGTCTCACTCTATTCTTTATTTTGAATTTAGTACTGTAAATCTTCTGCACAATGTCTTTTAAAATTTCTGCATCTGTTGTAGTGTTAGTGGATTTCGTGGCAGTTATCGAAGAAACTCCTAGGTTATTCATTCCAGATTCAGTGGACGTGTTAATAATATACTGGACGGATTCATTTTTCATCAAATCGTCAAACACATTGACTTCATCTTCTCCATTCTCTCCATATGGAGTCTTCATGAAGCTCGTAACATTCGATAACTCTGCAACATCATAATATTGCTCTGGTCTGTGGACTTGAACTCCAGAAGATGATAATGCTGACTCAACAATACTGTAAACTTTCGAGACAATCTCATCAGATGCTGAGGAATTTGGTTGAAATTTTTCCAATGCTAGTTCATTGATATAGTTATGTTGATCAGGAAGTAGGTACCGAGTGGAGTTGGAGATTTCAATGCTGTCGTCCTTGGTATCGAAATAACAACTTTCAAAGGGGAAATTCGTCGTAAAAGTACAGGTCATATCAACACTATCAATGTCCATCGATTTTTCATACCCGGAAAAAAGTAAAATCATTGCTGATAAAATGGGAATCATCCATTGACTAGTTACACTCACAACTGTCACAGTGTTATTTCTGTCAGCAATATTTGTAAACAGTGTTTCTTTTGTCTGATGAGAAACCCCGAGATTCATAAAATTCTTGCACTTCCTGTAGAACATTTCCACATTATAGTTACACTGAATCGACATAGACAGCAGAGAAATAAAAGAATTAGCAAAAGGTATCATGAACAATGAATAATTCATCAGAATTATTTGCGAATCACAATTTGTCATTTCATGTTCTTGTTCGTTGGTTCCGTTGATTGTCTTGAGTAAGTTCATGATATCCTTTTTGGGAGAACTCTCAGTTCCCTGCAGCATGATCTCTTTATATTGATTATAAAACAGTATAATAGATATTAAAATACTGCTCAAAATATCTGATGTTATCAAGATAGATAAAGATGAAGTGATACACCGGTTAGAATTCCTCTTCATTAGAAAAAAAAATGAAAGTAAACTTGACAGGGCTAGTACAGAGCCAGCAAACCCAAACACGATAGAATTCATTTTTACATCACTTGAATCCCTTCGTTTCGCGTTGTTTTGTATCTGTATTTATTTCTGTTAGGATCTTCTCCGAGATGTTAAAAGCACTACAGTTTTTTTTAGAATGGTTCTCCAATGTTTTAGCAAAATATTATCATACTTGCATTGCATGGGGGCAACAAGACCCCACAATAAAAGTAACTGTAAGATCCTACCTATGGGGGTACAAAAAAAATAAGTATCGCTTATAATCAATATTGATTCTTTCATTAATATTAAATGATGCCCTCTCCCCTGTTTTTTTATCGATTTTCATTGATTCATAAATGAAATCCATTAATTCCAATGATATTATTCTGTTTTTTCAAGTTTTCATTAAGAAAAATCATATAATCAGTTAGCAGCTGTCATTGTACAAATGTATTCATTGAAAAATTCAATTTTGCTAACAGAAAAAGGAAATCATAATGTCAGTACGACGTAGAACCGATTCATCGATGACTCAGCGAATATGGGATGCAATAAAGATAACAATAAACCAAAGGAGCTTACCCAGCAACGAGCGCATTGTAAGGCACTTTGCAAGGGTTTACGGTATAACTGAGCCCGCAGCCCAGGACGAATTAAATAAAGCAGTGGCAGATGGCCTCGTATTTTTAAAAAAAGTACAGTCAAAGGGTGGTATCGAGCAAGAGAGTTATCGACTTCCCCTCGAGGCATCTGAGGCTGATGGACACGACTGGTACTGCTACGATTGTCACAAAGCTGGTCTTGTCGAGGCTTGTAAACAATGCTTCCGAGTTTATCATCACGATTGTCATGTACCTAATGATCCCGAAACAAAAATTTGCGCTTTCTGTGAAGAAATTAATAGTGATTCATACCCAGATATTGTCGCACTCAATCACATCCTTAGTTTCACCTGTGGACATTTGAAAGCCAAGTTGCCACAAGAAATCACTAATAGAAAAATTGTGGTGGACAGTTCCACTGGAGAAGTACCTCCGGGGGGGCTTGTTGGGCCCACATGGGTCAGTGAGGGAGAAGATGCTTGGAGACCAGCTATTCTTATCAAGAATCATATGGATTTGACTATCATGGAAGAGAAAACTAAAAAGAATGAGTACAAGAATCTCGCTGAATTCCAGGCTGATGCACACAACATTTTACACAATATCATCATTTATCATGGAAGTATGTCAACAATATCAATATCAATATTAATAATTTTCAGTTTTCATTATCCTAAAACTTGACCGATTCTTATAATCCATTCAAGTAAAATTCTTTATAGAAGAATTTTTTTATGATCATTCACATTTCCTCTTTGATTATTAACAATAGAATTGATGATTATGACTCTTATGTTTATTACAGAGAGTAGTACAGTGGGCGAAATGGGTGTAACAATGTACCAGGATTGTTGTTATGACTTGAAAGAAATTCGACGCTGTGCTGATTGTTACCGAATATCAAACGAAAAGTCGGAGAAAATGTGGTTCTGCATTCCATGTGATCCACCACATCAACTGGTCTATGCAAAACAAAAGGGGTACCCCTATTGGCCTGCCAAAGTGATGGAGATAAAGCATGACTTGTACGATGTCAGGTTTTTCGGTGGACACCATATGCGGGCCAACATTGAGAAAATCTTCATAAAACCAATCACTGCGAGTATACACAGTCTCCAGGTAAGAGACGAGGCAAATGAAGAAATGGTTCGGTGGAAACACAATGCAATGTATATCAAAGAAGGAAAACTAAAAATCACCCTTTTAATCCTAGTAAATATTTTCCGATTGCACACGGTGAAAACATTGAATTATTTATTCATCTTTTTTACCGTTACTATATCCCAAGATAATCGAAATTGCGAATAAATTTTCATAATGGCTTTAAATGCAGAGATTTACCGAGTAAATCAATTTTTTCTCCTATCGCATGACATGAATGCAAAATTATTTGAAAAAAAAAACTATTCTCAACTTTTCCTAACTACTGCTGTATACTCAATAAAAAAGAAAAAAACAATCTCATGCATAGCCATCAGAAAAAGGAAAATGGAAGGAAATGAAGGTATGCAGTACACGATCCGTTCTATCATTTCATTTTGTGTCAAGTGATTTAGCATATTTATATGTATAAAAAAAGCTGTAATTAGCAAAAAAAAAAAATTCACGGATGAAAATTGATATCTTCATAGATAAAGCGTTCGAGTGCTTGGAATAAGGCATTTGAGGAATTAAAGCATCATCAGACTCTCCTGCAGAAGCTGGGAAAGAATCGTTATATCACCTGTGAACTGGGTGATACGGACGATGGGCCAAAGCCACCAAAGATCAGGAACACCGGAACAAAGGTAGCGTCTAATGGCGCTTCATTAAAACAGATTATGAAAGACTTGAGAGTGAAAGTTGAAAGGTTGAATTCCGATGGAAATTTCGACTCACAGACGAGTCAAGAGACGAAGGGGATGAAGAAAAGCAGCAGTAGATCAACGAGTGAGGACAGACAAGTGCCACTGCTACCAGTTGCTGAGGATGAGCCACCGAGGGCGATATCGAGTACGTGTCCACTTGGATTGAAGAAGGAAGGGTCACAGGAGGACATGGTCACATCGAGTTCCCAAGAGCCGAGGACTAAGTGCGTCCTAGTGCAAACGGATTCAAACCAGACTGAAGTTATGCCGGCTAAGGTAATATCTTTATTTTCACCTACATTTATTTCGTTTCTCAAATATTCGTCGTGCAGGGAAGGAAGGTTGCATTGATTGGCAAGTCTGCACTGTTGCAGCATTCGAGTAGTATGTGATATGTTTCCAGATGAAGAGAGAGCGGAGGACATCTGATCAACCTACCACCACAGGACTTGATAAACTGCGCAGGGAGATGGAGTTAGATAAATGTCGAGAGCTCGAGAGATTGCAGGCTGAGCACGCTAAAGAGCTCAGACAAATGACTGACAAACATCAACAAGTTATTTCGGAGATTAAGAAGAAACAATGGGTAATTTATTGTGTAATTTATTATATCCGTCCATCAGTGAACATTTGCCCTGGAGTGACATGATATGATGCTTTGACATGATTTTTAATTGCATTGTGCATAATAATTTGAGGCTTCAATGGATTTTTGATTATTTTAGTGTTACAACTGTGAAGCTGAAGCTATTTACCACTGTTGCTGGAATACAGCGTACTGCAGCACTGATTGCCAGCAACTACATTGGCAAAGGGAGCACAAGAGAGTATGCAGACGTAAACGCTAGTCAACCGTTCTCTCCGCATCCACAAGTACAATAATCCAAGGACCCACATCAATATCGCTCCGTTGGTGATACTCTTATAATCCTTTAAAGAAAACTTTCAATATAAACAATTGAGGAATCAAGTGAATATAATTATAAAGGGCACCTAATATATTACTATAAATATATTAACAAGTGAAGAATGACGAAGTATACTTGCGATACTGGCATGAGAAAAAAATCATATGAAAAATTGAAAGAATCTCTCGGCAAGTCGAGATCCATTTAGCATTTTTTCGTCATCAATATTGGTTATATTAATGAAAAATATATATTATATATGATGAATCTTGTAAGGAACGTTTTCTATAACGTTCTCTCAGGTCTAACGATTGTTAAGTGTAAAAATAATGGCCACTTCACGACTAAATTGAAGTATCAATTCAAGGAAATGTCTGACATATCCATTCTCGCGGCAATCACTTGATCTTTCGTATTTCCTTCTCTTTAATCATTTCTTACCCTTCTTGCACTTGAGGTTAATAGAACTTCCTCGGTCATTATTAAATCGAATGAGAATTATAAGAATTTTAATTACGTTGAGACTCCGATTCGTCAAGTAATTGTTGAAATGCCACGAATCCGTATACGTTCAATTAAAAAATGAGAAACAATCTATAATCTTGGCGATAATTATCAAAATTCAATCTAGAAATTCCGGTATATTACGTAAACTATTAGATGTCTAACTTTTCAAAGATGAATACAATTAATCGTAAAAATAGCATACCCATACATACAATTCAATTGTCTTGTTGTGTGGACCCATCAAAACAAAAGATTGTGCAAATATTGCATTTCCTTTTTTCATGCACAAATTCCTACAGAAAAATGGTGAAATTTAATCGTACCCAGATACAATAACCCATTTTCATGATTATCGCTAAAGCGAGCATATATAGAATTAAATATGAACGTTTGTTTCTAGATAAATATAAGTTGGAGTCAGCCTTCTTAGAAATAAGTATTCTTTTTTTTTGTTTATAAATTCAGGCAATAAATATTGTTGAGTATATATGTTTTCTTTATGAACGAATAAAAAATCCGGGACAAATATATGAAAATAAGACAATTGTTGATCGATTATTTTCTTTGGGATAAGTCTTACTAATAAGCACTTAAAAATATTGAATAAATAATTTATTGATGTAGAAATTATGAGCTACGAAATTTAGAGGGAGATTGTGTCTTTTTCATGTGTTTTGAGTAGCGTTGACCTCCTGACTGGCCATTGCTAGAGCCATTTGACATTTTTCTTGATTGTCAGATACTTTAATAAAACCAGTGACGTCAACGGTATCCATTGACAATTTTTCCAAAAATTCAAGCTCTGATTGTTGCAATTTTTCTCCCAATTGCTTTAAAGCACTCAAAATTTCACTTCGTTGTCTATCACTCATTTCTTTGCTCAATTTTCCGAGTCGTGTGTCTCTTTCTATTATTGAGAGGCGTTCCCGTAATTGCTTTGGCTCACGTCTTCCAAACATCCTGATTACCGCAGGAGTTTTGAATGCTGCACTTACTGCTGCATGCGTTGCTAATTGCATTGCACCAAGTTGATCCACTAGAGTCATGTCTCCTGAAATCATGCGTTGAAGACTATCGCTGAATTCACGTAATTGATCCATTGTCTCTCTCTTGGTTTCTTCGTAGTCGGATTCTTCTAAATCCTCCCTGCAAATTTTTCAATAAATATATGGTATATAAATATAGCAACGCACCCTCACTTTTGCCAATTGTGTGGTCGTTTTTTGTCCAAGGACCACTGATCTGAGAATGTTCTTCAATTTTTTTGTAATTCTTCTACGCAACTTGCGACAAATTCATAATTTCGTTTTTTTTTCTTTAAATTGTTTTAATTTTTCCGAGAATGTTAGAACGCAGAACCTCTTCTTCGATACGAAAATCATTCTTTCGATGTTGAATTATTAAAAAATTGAATTCGTAAAACTCACTTGCATTCTTCTAAATCCTCTAATTGCTGTACCAATCTATCCAGTTGCTCCTCCAGGTTCTTCCTAAGCCTCTCCGTTTCAACTTTCCCGTGAGAGCTCATAGTGAACTACGAAAAAGCACAAAGTTAGGTTAACAAAAAATGCAGTCCATAGGTTCTTATAATCCAAAAATGCCTAGTCCATATACTAAAAAAAATATAAGGATAGAAAGAGAATCCTTTAGTTATTACCTTTTCTGCGATCTATCTATTACGTGAGAAATTATTTACGCATTGTTATCAAAAATTGTTGTTGCAGACGTAAACGAAAAAATCAACATAAGTATGCTCTCACACGATGGATTCATGATTCCATTTACACGTTCATTAATTAGAATCCGATATAATACAATATAATATCGACTTCGGTGTATAGAAATGATATTTTAAATGCTTAAGACAAGCCCATGAAAATATTAAAAGTACTTTGACCACTTTCGGGCCGGTAATCAATAATAAAATTGCAATACTCCGAATTTAAATTGTCTTCTCCTTCCCGCTAGCAAATAATAAAATATACAGTGGTGGCCTTGCGTCGCGCGATGTGCACACGGCTTTTTTTCTGTTTATATAGTGTTGCTTATAGTGAAAACAGTCGAAAACGAAAGCGTTCACTCGGAATCACCTCGAAACAATCAGTGGATAATAATATCAGTAAATCCTGAGTTGTAAAAAATTCTTATGATTGAGGAATGAAAATTTTATTGTAATTGCTAGGCCGCACCCATTGGCCCAGTGTAAAACATATATAATCGGTTGATTTGTTTAGACTGTAGAATAGTTTAGAATGCGCCACAAGGGCCACAACCGCCACAACGCACCGCAACGCACCGTGTGGTAACATCCGATACTCGATAGCAAATGGGACCGCTATATATCACCCTAATACAAGGCAACAGACGAGACAACCAGCGTGTTAAAGTTTCTTATTAGAGCAACATTTTACAATAAAAATATTGGCCAGTATAAAATAAAAGTAAGAGTTATAAAAATAATAAGCCACTTTGTCAATTTATGACACATGCCTTGTGTGGTAATTTGTGAAAAGGGTTAACCAAATAGCAGTTATAGTAGAGGATTAGGAAGGTGAGTGAGCTTATCTATGTGGACCGAAACAAGTTGGGAGGTTAAAGGTCTGTGCTGCGAGGATATCTCAAGGGCTCTCAGATACCTGAGATGAGCAGTATGCCGGCCAAAGGCAAACATCACCACATGTCCCACCACTCACACCCACAGGGACAATCACAACAGCAACATCTTGTCAACGTTAATCATTCTGTCTCTGGCAATCCACAACCGTACAACACGCTTGGAGCTGGTCGTTTATACCTCTCACATGCCGGTGAGTTCATTATTTTTTTTTCACTTTTGTAATCTGCACGATATTTCAATTACGTAACTCGCTAAAAACCCTCATTAAATGCTTGGAATTATGATATCGAAACGGGAGAAAGAGGAAAATTCTTCAATTCATCACGCGGCGTGGCTTTTTGTTAGGTTAGGTCAGGGAATATTTGTCTACGAAAATTTAAGAGGAACACTTTATTTCTCGTTTTTTAAGTGCGTCAAAGGGAAAAGGTGTCATTAGTTATTAGGGATTGTGTATACACATGGAACGTAGCCTAATTAATCCGTTTTTGTTCTCCATATGGTAAAACTCTATCAGTGTATTTTCATTACCATTATTTTATTTGAAGAACATCATGAAATATTAGGAGAGAATCGTTTTCCACAGACTTAATGGTTTTTTTTCCATACAAGATAACATTGCAAATTGTTTGCAACAATTTGCAACGTTTTATATACCAGGGTTGAATATTCTCCCCTCCGATGGACCACTCATTTCCAGAACTTCTGTCAATACATATCTCTTTTTTCTAATTTCCATTCAATGGGTTTTGACTCATTATTTTGTCCTTTCTCCCTTTGACAATACCGTAAACAATTCGTCATCCAGGGATGAGTCATCCTCGGCGGGTATTTATCTGCTAAATCAAAGAAATGTGGAAAGTTGACATGTCACTAATTCATTCTCCCACGTAGATTCCAAAACTCGTTACATGTCGAACATTTAACGAGATATGATTGGAAATATTCCTCGATCCATTAAATGTCTTTTGCTTTGTCTGCACACAACATGAATTTTGTGTGAATTTTTTAATGTCTGAATTCTGAATACCACAGTGGAAATAACAATTAGATGATTAGGACGTAGAGAAAAAAAATTATTTTTAATTACAACAGCCTCTGTAAATACTGCAAATAGGATGGAATTGTTCAGTTGACAATTGTCAAGGTAATCACGACAATCCACATATTCATTACTGTCCCTGTGAATTTTTTCTATGCACTGATGGTATTATATTTATTAATCAACGTTACAATCTTTGAAATTGAATGGTCTCATGCCGGTATGGCATAGAGGTTATGTTTTCTAAACATCCGCGTGGCATTCGTGGCATCTTCTTCACGGCCAAATCTCGTGAATGACCAGAATAAAGTGCATACTCAATTGAATGAAATTACGCATTACATTAGGCATGTTCGACACATGTACAATAACGATAGGCAAATATTTATGTGCACATAAATCTACAATGAAGCAAAACGCTTCAAGTGGAAAATCGTTATCACATTTTATTCTAATTACGCTTATCTCGAATCATTGAAAATTTTCCAGGAAGGTATGAATCATTAATCATTGGTGGTACGCCAAACCTATAGATAGTTCCGAAAATCAGGTCGCACTTGCACCGCCATTGACTGAGAAAATACTTAGAAACGAAACTTCTTCTATTTTATCACAACAATAAATCAGTTAGAGGCATAAAATGTTCTCACATGTTTTTTTCCTCTTCCTGTTTTATGTAGATTGAACTAGTTCATAAGAGCGCAACAGCAATAAATGTTTTTTAACAATGCATAGAACATTATTAAAATGGGAATTGATAATGAAAGAAAGAACTGGTAACTTATTGAAGATAATTTTGCACGTGAAAATGATTTTTCTCATTTCAACCGCAGAAGTTCCAGTTCACTAGATATATGAAAAAAATTCCAGAAATAATAATAATCTCGTTCACTTTATCATTTCTTTGAATTGATAACTTTTGCTCTTACTACTCGACTTATTTTAGCTGGTATTGGTCTACTTCAGTTGGAACGAATTAGTAAATTAGGAAAGCAATAATTCTGCGAGGGCTTATCTTCACACATATGTGCGATAACGCCATTCGTTCATGCGTGCGACTGAAGACTTGTGGCTTTTGTATAGTTGATAGGTATAAATGCGGCTGTGCGCTTGCTCAACTATCAATAATTTTTCCCTTTTGTTACTTCAAATTTATTTGAAGAAAATCAATAGTCGATAGCTACACAATGAGCTGTAATAATGTGATGATAATTTTCTCTCCGTAGAAAAATCGTCTTGGCGTGTTAATAATTTCAGAATAAAATGTCAAGAGTAGAGAAGGGAGAGAAAATGAGTGGAGTTGAATCCATTGAATCGATTGATAAAAATCTCAATGGGCTCTGTCTATCTAGGCAATTCTCTTGATTGGTACGTGTGTAAGAAAAGATTTTTTTACATGAGATGAAAGTGGAGAGGGCACAGACATTGAGGTGGGATTGGTGGGATTGGTGGGATTGGTGGGATTGGTGGGATTGATGAAGATATGTTCAAGTGGGTACGTAATATTACCATAGGAGTGAAATTTTCAATCCAATTATTTTCTAAGGTTAAGCGAAAATTCGGAAAAATTCGAATCGCTGTGTAACCTGGTGATGGAGCAAATGGGAATTTGATTATTGATAAATAATTCACCCTAAAAAATAATCGGATTGAAAATATCACTCCTATGGTAATGTTACATAGCCTCTTAAGAGAGTACGAATAAGTGGCGCGCGTTGGGGGCCGATGTTGTCCGGAATTGACCGAGAATCTCCGGGCCCCTTCGTCACTCGGCGCGTAGTCCGTGTACATGTGGCAATCAAGCCACACGGTATACCCGCGTTCTTCTTTTAACGCAAATTTTTTTTAACCACTGTGAAATTATATTCCTATTTTTTTTCTCTCTTTTCACCAATTCGTCTTTATTTTCATTTGCGTTAGACGTATTCTCCAACGAAACCTCATTACATAACTCAAAAGACAGACTCTTGAAAACGAAACATAATAATAATAATTGAAGCAATAAGTGGATTGAATATTTTTTTTATCAATTTAAAAAATGTAACTGATATTCGAGTGAGATCGCCCAGAACGGAAGAGAATAAAGTTAACTAAAAGAGTCGAATGGGAAAGATTTATAATAGATGTGGCTGGGATCGAGTGTAAAAGTATTGGATTGTGTGAATGTTGCAAGAATTAAGACTGGATTCAACGTGATACGGATGAGCATATGTTGTCCAATAATTGGACAGATGAAACATTCAAATGGATATAACGGAATAATCACGGGGGAATAAAATAATAAGGTGATTATTAAAAGAGGGTCAGAGGGAAAGGAGTGTGAAAGAGAGTTGGTTATCGAGGAAGTGATTTCCGTACAACGTGGTCAGTTTGAATACGGATTTTCGGATTCTCTGGTGGATTTCACTCTTGTTCTGCTTGAGAGAGAGATAGAGAGAGACATTCTGAATATATCAGTGAGCGAGAATTCTAGCAATCTGCCTTGCCGGCTGATACCTTTCCGTTCTTTTTCACGCAACGAGGTTATATAATTTTACTTTTCAACTAACATCATATTTAACTGACTTTTTATCAATCATGCTGGCTTCTATAAAACCGACGAATGGCAATTAAATTTTAAAGTAAATACTAAATTTGGAGTTAATCGAGAGATATAACGAGAGAAAAAAATCGAGGGAACAATTTCAACGAGTTTTTCAAGCACGTGGTCGTTTGCAGACGGATTATAAAGGAGATCCGAGGTACGGAATTCTCCGAAGAAAGCATGGAAATGTGCTTTACACTTCGTTGATTGTAACGTTAACGTTTTTGGTTTTTAAGATATTTTTTAAGTTAGAACAATCTCCAGCGGGTGTGAAAGTGAAATCGTTTGAGTTGTAGTTTTTTCTTTTATTTATTTTTGTGTTTTGAGTTTTTTTTAAACTTTCGGTTGACTTGTGGTTTAGTGCAAAAAGGAAGTGTCGTCGTGGGAGTTGGCGAAGGAATATGTCGAGCGTGATAGGTGAGTGCTGGTTGTCATTGTGGGGATTGCAGGGTGGGTTTATTGCCGGTTACAATGCGGAGAGCTTCATGTTTTTAGTAAAGAGCATAGCTCCCATTCGCTTTTCACATATTTCCATTTTTTGTTTCAAATAATTCCAGTGGAATGAGCAAAATCATTAAAGACCATTGAGATACTGAATGATTATTGAAATTTAAAACTACTTCACAGAATTTTTAAAGAAGTGCGAAAATTTATTCGTTTTTATGCCGCTATTCGCAGGTGGCACCTGCGTCGGAACTCTTTTTTTGCAAGAGAACTCAATTTTTTTTTAATTTGATGTTTTTAGAATGATCATTGAATTCACGCAGTATGGTACACGTATCTGGGAATTTTCTTTCGCCATTATCTTTTGGCTGAGACATTGTCTCGACGATCGTGGGAATAGGTGTTCTATTCTTTCACTGACTTCAGTTATCAAGTCAAATATTTCGGGAGACGTATTGGCGAAATTGCACAATTTTCATTCTATGGTATCTTTAAAAATTATTTAATTCTGATTTTTTATATTCTCTGGGGTTTTTCTTAGGAGATCGTCCACGCGTGCTCTGCTCATACATTCATTCGAATTGTTTGAGATTCAGTCCCAACGTTGGCGTAATGGGTCTTACCCTTGCGATCATTCGAGATATTTCGAGATATTTCGAGACATTTCGAGATTGATTTTCTGTCCCCTTTTCCGATCCCAACCAATATAAGAAGGAGAAAGGAAATCGATCTCGAAATATCTCGAATTACCGGAAGGGTGAGGCCCGTGAGACAAAATCGATCCGCCACCATGACGACGTAGCAAAAGTTTGAAAATTCAAAACATTGAAAAAATGTAGGAATCATTGCGTACACCAAGCGATGTTTATTGGCTAAATACCTGAGGGCCGGCGGCGGGAAAATTCAAAAAATTCAAAAAATGTCAAATTATCTTACGTCATTATAAAATCGTAAAAATGTCGGAATCATCGCGAAAACCAAAGGAAGGTGCAAATTATTGCAGTGGGAGCGAAAAATTTTGACAAATCAATCTGAATCACGGGGTAGGAATCGAGTTTTTCTTCCGGGTTGCAATTTTTTCATGGCATCTTAAGGCGAAAGTCGTCATTAGTTATTTAGCTATCGAGATAGGTAAGGGATCATTTGAATATGTAATAAAGGTGAAATAAGTAACTGAAGTCTCGCGACAGAGAATATTAGCGTGACATTCCGGGCAAGGCCGCATTAGCACTGAAGGAAATAAGAAAGAGGCCAATGAACATCCGTGGAGAAACTAACCGTACTCCTTCACTATTCACTTGCAACAGCTTTGCAACAGCTTTACGGTTACGATACGATACGACCGCTCCACCTCCGTCTCTCACCGCTCTCTTTTCTATTTTTCCACATTTCCCCTCAATCTTTTATTTTCATCTTTCAATTATTTGTTTTTTCCCCGAAACTTTCCTTCTTCATCAATACTTCATTTCCAATTATTCATTAAATCAGTATATCGCAAAAAGACGAGGTCGTACTTTCACGCCACTCTCTTTCGTTTTATCAAATCGCGCCAGTCTTTCGCACAACGCTACATCATTTGCATAACTCGCCACACTTCATTTCCCATTATTCCTTCAAAATTTTATCTTTCATGATTTCCTTCAATTGTTCAACAAAAATCTAATCAATAGTTGGCGTTTTCTTTTGGTGAAGAAATTGAATGGGGTAAATGGTTCTGTACTAACAGTGATGATTAGATTAATATGAAATTTTTTAAATAAACTAGAGAATACATGTCTAGAATTGTTTATAGGGAAGATCATATAAACGTCGTTAATTCTTCTAGAAATTGGTGGAATTAGTTTGAAAGAGCTCTTGAGGGCTTACTCAATGGAGAGGCTGTTTTAACATTTAATTTCTATTTTAATATTTGAGAATCATTGGAAATCAACAACTATTGATTTTATTCCGTATACGAAGCAAATGATTTTGAAAAGAGACATGATCCATGAAAAGTTGAAGAGAATTTGATAATAAATTCTCTGTATCATGCCATCACTAGCTGATGTCATTTAATTTTTCCTTTCCACTTCCATCGGCTGGCAGCAATCACTCGAATGAGTTCCTTCAAATTTGTCTCTAATGAACCGAAGAAAACGAAAAAAAAAATTTTTATACTCCTATAATTTAAAGTTATATGACTGAATCCACTTTTTGCTTATCGGTTGTCATTTCCTTGGATTGAAGCTGAAGACGAGGCCGCCAGGCCTTCTCATTCGTCCACCTTGAACGACTTTGCATTTTTTATTAGTGCTTTACAGCTTAAGTTGATTATTGGCACTATTTGCATATATCTTTCCACTCGTACGTCATTCCAATTTCTCCTGAGTTTCATTACGTTTGATTTTTTATTTTCAGTAGAATTATTTTTGCTGGTTATTCGATATAATTTTGTCAATTCCTCCTTCGATACATGATCAACGACCATTGATTCATCCCATTTTTCGAATCAATGAAATTGATTCAAAATTATTCACAGAAGTGAGGGCAGATTTATTTCTCTACTCATGAAGTCTATTGAAATCGTTCACCACGGAGTCTTCATAACACCATCCTTACTATTATGTAATGTATAATTATCAAGACAGTCCGACTTGTGCCATAATCATTTTGTCAAGGTATCATTTCTTTTCACATTGATATTTCAAAGATATATTCTTTTATTTAAAGAATTCATTTAAAAACACGAATAATTTATTACGATATTATTTGATGGGTTTAGTTTGGAATGAAGGAGAAGAGTTCTCAGTATGTGTTGCACGTAGGATTTCTGCGACAGTCCACTTGGTCTGACCTTGCTAGCAATGCATACGGCTTGATACGCTCTGTCAGCCAAACGTTGGCATCCTATTTATTTGAGATTCAGTTTGTACCACCGCTATTTAATACTCCGCATTTTTTCAATTCTCAGATTAAGTAAAGCATAAAATCTGGGACATTAATCGAGTCAATTACTCACAGATTAATAATCAAACCACTGGCTACTAGCCACTGGCCACTGGCTACTTATCTATGTATATTGTGACATGTATCACGTGGCAATATCCGGCTATTCAGGTGAACCAGGTTGGCTATCAGGTTCTCGATAGAAAGTGCCTGACTGGGGTATCATTTTTTTTTTCTATTTTCTGATTAATTGGAACGTTATCAGGCATTTTTCGTATTCAAAATAATATTCTCTCATCGTCCATCATCGACTTAGAAAATCTTATATGAAGTGAATACATTTTCGTTAAAAATTGTTCTCTAAATTTTAATCTTATGCGGAAGATCTTGATAGAGTTCTAAAATCAATTTAATTGAGAAAAAAATAGGCACGAAAGAATAGAATTTTACGATGCGAGTGAAAACACTGAGATAAGAATGGACGATAGAAACACGGCTGATTAAGACTTGAAACAAAATCGTGTGTTAAAATCAATAACCCAGTTCTTCAATATTCTGACTAATTAATTTCTTATCACATTCAATTTTTCATGATTTACCCCACGCAAATATCGGATTATCATTTAAGATGACAGATCATAAAATTCGTCTATAACAATTGAGATTAGTAGACTAATATAAAAATGATGGGTTCGCGCTGAGATGCTTAATAAATTTATTATAAGATTAGGCTTGTATTATAAATGAGATTTAATAGAACAACACGAGTTGATGATTCCGTCTGAAACAGGTAGATTACGTGCTCACTTACGTGTATCATGATAAAGAGAAAGATGAAGTTCTGAGGTGCAAGGAGTGGGAGAGGAGAATAAGTGAAGTAAATTGTTGAAGGGTGTGTGTCTGTGCATTATGGTGTGCTGAACAGCCATTCAACAAACAGCTTAGATACCGTAAGGAATGCCAGTCACCTTAATCCGTAGTACCTGTATTGTCCTGAACATTGCCGGTTTTCTACAGTTTGACTCTAGCAAACTAGAAACTGAGAAATGCCAATAAAAGATGCACCATGATTCTTGGATCAAGTGAAAGCACTTAATACACGGCTGACCTTTCTCATCAGATTCCATTCTCTGTTCAGTTTATTTTTATTCCAATTTCTGTCATCATTATTATTATTTGAATTCATATTTTACGAGGACTGATAACAATTCTAATCATACCTTTTGGCTTTTGCACACAATATCTGATGGTAAAGTTCAATTTTTTTATTTATAAAGTAGCCTGAGTCGGTGCACTCACAAAGATGTCTTGAATATTTATTAAAAATTGAAAACGACATTCTATTTTCGAGGTCATTTGCAATAACTACTCGATAAAGCGGGAAGTTGAACAATGAAGATCTAATAACTAGTTAAAATGTATGAATGGCATTGTACAGGCGGTTTATCTGTACATATGTTGAGTATGATTTTATCTTCTTGATTTTTCTGCACGTGTGTTTTTGTCGATTTTGGAATATGATTGGAATTCGGTGTCGACTAGTGTGATATGGCCTGGTGATAAGGAGTGATTGAAATTATGGGACACGTCTGAAACACGTGCTCTTACTAGCAGAAGAGGTCCCATGTTAACAGCTCGGTCAGTAGAATTGGCGACTTCCGCCTTGGCCTCATTTCTAGAACATTCACCGTGTGCTTTAAACTACGCTAGTGTTGTTCTACTAATTTGTTGTCTCTCTTCAATTCGGTGAACTGTACAGTTAGATCCGTGAGACATCGTACCATCCCTGGGCGGCATTCTCGAGGTCGATCAATCATTAAATTCTCTCAACTGAAAATTATTGTTTGTCTGTGGAGTTTAGTGTTGCGTTTATTTCCTGAGGCTGGCTAATCCTTTCGAACAACTCCGCTAGTCGATCTTTTAACACTTACCGATAATTAAATTCTCGTGGATTTTATCATGAGATAACAGATGGCGCTGGGTGTGTAGAAAGTTAGTGCCTTTCACTTGGTCGGACTGCTGTAATCAGTGACCAATGACAAATAGGGTTACGCATCAAGTTACCTTAAATCTTAATCTCGTTTTATATGTATTACCTTTCATTGCAAGGATTAAACAAAGATTTATTACTAATCTCTACAATTAATATAGGGGAGCCTGGTGTAAAATGGACACTGAGAAAATTGCAAAAAAAAACATCTCACGTCCTAATTTAATGAGTAGATAAGATGGACAAAGGAAATATTACTTGAAAAATATTAGGGACAAATTGTTTTTTTTTTTCTCGAAATCTAATTTGTTAGAAATTGTGATCTCGAGGTAAATTTGTAAACAATTAAATGAGTCCAGTAAGTTAGCGAAAATTTTTATTATTTAAAAAACAAACACGATTTCTATTTTTCACCACCCTCACCTACACTATTACTACATAAAACAACTGGTACGAATATTTTTTTTTACCATAAATATATGCGTATTTGTCACTCAATTTTTTGTTGACCTTGACAAAAAATAATGGGTAGTTACATTTGAGGGAATGCAAAGCGTTAATTTAAGAAAAAAGGAAAAATAAAAAAGAAGAGAACACGAGAAAAAGGGAAAAGGGGAGGAGATGAAAAAAGTCGTCGTGCAAAGGGGAGGAGGGAATAAGGGGAGAACGGGAGAAAAAAAGTGGCGCTGGTGGATATATCTGGTGTGTCAGGAAGGGATGACACACGCACAGCATAAAACGCACTGGTTATCCTCTTTCTCGTCTACCATCTCCCGAATCCCTAGTGGAAGCACATAAGGGGGATGTTGGTAACAAAGCGACGAGGGACGATGGATAGGTCATTGGCCGGACGGGAAGGCCGGTGAATATCGACCCTCCGATTTTGCCACTACTGCGTCACACACCATTCCAGACGGTCCTCTCTCTTTCTTCACCATCAAACACCTCTACGTGTATGCGCATATATAAATGCCCTCGAATAGTCCCTAGAGTTCTCCCTGCTCCCCTTTGTCGACGCGCAAAACCTCCACGAACTACCACTACCGTACCGCTGTCTCTGTTGATGCTTTTCCAAGGTCAACTACCGCTCGTTCAAAGGGTCGAGAAACCCGCTCCTGAAACCTCTTCTCACTCTACCCACCTTATCCCCCCAATGTTTCCACACCCTTTCCTCTTTCCTCTTCATTTCTTCTCTTTTTTGTATCACTCTCACTTTTCTTATTTCCCTTAAGGGTTCCACACCCATATATAGCCAAAATTAACGTTTTTTTTTTTTTATTTTTCTGGCAAACTTACAATGGGATTGATGTGAAAAAATATCCCTTAATTTGAGGGTGGGGCCAAATGCATGTCTGAAAATTTCGAGGATTTTCACTCATATCTCCGAATCTAGGGGAGATTGGAAAATTTTTATCAGAAGCTTTCTTGTAGCTCTAAATGAGACTTACAAAAAAGGCTATATGAAAATTTCGGTGGCTACTGTCACCTGAGAGATATCCAATGATTTGATACGTCATCTCAACGTTGTTGCATGATTCCAAAACTAATATGCTTGAGTTTTCTCATCAGTTGATGACTTACGGAGTTTCTAGGTGGTGCAAACATTTTTCTGCGTTTATTCTAACCTTTCAAAAAGAATCCCAACACTAGAAAAAACTCATGAAAATCATTGCACCACCACAAAACTTCGTAAGCCATTAAATAATAGCGACACACCGAAACGTTATATTCTTTTATATTAATCCCATTGATAATTTGCCAGTAAAATTTGAAAACGTTAATTTTGGTTATATATGGGTGACGAGCATATTTAATGTGCACCATGAAATTTATCTTCTCATTTTCCATTATTTGAGGAACATTTTGCAAAATATTTCAAAACTTTCGTTGGGTCGACGCAAATTATGACTGATTTACGTGTGGGGGGCGTGAGTTTAGAAAGCGAAATAGTAACAAGGGCGAAGAAACCTGTCTAGTGGATGAATCTAAACACGGTCTAAACTGCCTGAAGGTTGGTCCAGGTTATGAAGTAGCGGTTTGTTTACTGTATCCTCTCATTCTATTTTTTCTAATAATTTAACTACAGTTATCAGTCATATTTAACTCTAGATTAAATACACCCATTGACTGCAAAGTAATCTGGCCTAAATTTCAACCAAAAGCATTTGTTTATCCAGAAGTTACCTTTAACTTAACCAAGTGTTAACCATGGTCAACTTACCCAGAAAGATTTTTTTTCTCTTCTCCAGCTTTCCCCACCCTCTGAAATCTTCTTCGTGGATTTAAATAGCCCCATGGCAATGAATTATTATTCCAAATTTTGTTTAAACTAGGTCAGCATGTGCAATTGTACGTGTACTTCAAACTGTTCGAAATCCTAGACAACTAGGGAGTGACCGTTGATATGATCATCTAGAGAAGAGTAAAATGGATGAACATGGGAAACAAGTGCATATAGTTATTGATCTTTCGGTAATCCTCCCCTTTGCCTCCTTCATCACTGCACATTGCAGTTTCTCTTGCACACGGCTTTGAAAGTAGGTTACCTACCTACCAATAGAGATATAGGGGTGGGATGAAAAATCAAGCCACACAATTTTAAATTCACCTCTTTTTCCACGATTTCGGGGTGATTTTCACATTCGCCCAGGCAACGCCCCGTCACACCCCAGTTTAATTTTTATCAAGTTATAATCATTCTCCACATTAAAATATCCTGTAGGTTAACAGTAGTCACTACCCATTCTATTCGAATCCTTTTAAGTCAATTCGTTTCGTTTTTTTTTTTTTGCGAAACAATTTTGAGGATGTCAATTAGAGAACCTTGAGACATAATGCCACGAAAAAATTAACTCGAGGTCACCCTCTGTCAGAATCGTGATTAATGAACTCTTGTCTTTCACACGCGTGTATTTCCATGCCACTTCTGCAGGCTTTTCGATATAATTTTAATTCTTGAGATTATTTTAAAAATAAATAAATGTGAAAAAGTCGATGCACTTGAACGTGGATAAGTAATAGCTCTTCGTACATTATCCACCAACGAGATCAAATTTGTCCTTCAGTTTTGATATGTGTATTGGAGAGAGAAAATTGGGAGGTACTGTTGGTCTTGTTTGGATAATTGTGCGCAATCTCTGAGAACTGACTACAAGAGGAGAGTTTGGAAATATGGGTGCCATAGGTCGAGAATTGTCATGCGCAATGATATCTTCATGTTCACTTAAACATCTAATATAATCTTTTTTTCTTCCCAGTAATAGTAAGGAAAAATTACCCAAATTATTAAATTACTCAACGTATTTTTATTACTGTTTGGAAAACCTTTCACTTGGTTAACAGAAAAAAAAAACACCGTTTTGGGTTTCGTCATGTTTCAACGACCTACCATAACTTTCATTACTATGCAAAAATTTTCTAATAAATTTTCAACACTTGAAAAAATGTGTAGCTGAATAATAATAATCAACATTGAATGCAGCATATCAATGGGATTTTTAAAGTGACTTTATTCCAGTTGCGATGTGGAAAAATAAAAAGAGATATATTATATTTGTTTTTGGAATTTTGACCGATTCAAATAATGCATATTATGTCGAGTAAAAAAGAAATGAAAAAGTACGATTATAATTAGTGAGTTGAGGGCTCGCATTTTGGCGGTTTTGGGCGATTTTGGGCGATTTTGGCCGAACCCGACAGTCGACAGTCGACGGGAATAAAAAAAAAAGGGAGGGGGCGCCTGACGTACAGGCGTCGCGACGGATTCTCAACTACGTCAGTCGGGATTCGCGACTCCAACGCGTGAGCCGTGTTTATCTTCAATTATAGAGTTCTTCTCCACCTTCATAACATTGAGAGCAATTATTTTTCTACCATTAAAGGATAAAGAATAAACTGAAAAGGGGAAGGATCGAGGAGTCTATCGGTTTTTCGGGTTGATTGAGCCCCGGTGAGGCGAATTGTGGCCTCAATCGAGGCCACGTTCCGCCCCTGACATTTGGGATTATTCAGTGCCATTTTGTACTCAACGGTTTTACCGTAAAACGAAAAAATAACAATTCTTTAACAATTTTGGGATTAAGTGATATATGAAGGATTTTGTGAGGACGAAATAATAATAGATAAATCGAGATTATCATTGATAAGTGAGATGATGAGTGCATGGTTGAGAGAATTGAATATGCGTGGAGAAGGGTCATTACAGTTTGTGTTGGAGAGGTCGGAAGACGTGCGTGCGTGAATGCGCGCGTGCCCCCGTACCCATGCCCAAACCCTAGGGAATTTCATTTTTCTCCACAGTGAACCCTTCACTTATTTTGGCTATTAGGCAACACAACCTTTAGTTGTATATTTAATGCACATGTCGATGCAGAGTGTCGAGTGTATCCCCTGATATTCTCTAAATCATCACAATAAATCACTTCAATCTCGCTATTATTGTTGTGTACAAGTTACTTGAACGTAAATAATCCTTGAGTACAGAGACAGTGTGGTGGGGAGGGAGAAGTTCTTGATATCGATCACTGGTGTATATTGAGAAGAGCCCCGAGGAGCCTCGTGGCTTCAGAGACGTCAATACTACATTTCAACAAAATGAACGAAATGGGCAAACTGTTTAATCCGTTGGAGGATGATATTCACATTGATCATCGGAGTTGCTGCAATTCCCCTAATAATGTCAAGGGGATAGAACAAAGTATCGGTGACATGCAGTAAAATTATCTATGTGGAAGAGTGCCTCCTTCGCGACTAAGGGGATATTAATGAAAAATTGGCTTTGCTGAAGATTTGATAACTGAAAATAACAATAAAACTTGGCAAACCAAAGACAACAAATTCGTGACAAACATTGAAAAATACTGAGATTACGGAGAAAGAAGAAGAATACAAAAAGAGTAATCCTTCAGGATGGAAACCAAGTCTTCCATGTACTGATTATTTCTATTGAAAAATTCATTTGAGGGATCAGTCGACGATAATAAAAATCTTAAATAGAGATAAAATAAAGTTTGACATTTGAAGAAAGAAGAGAGGCATGGTATCGAGGTACGGTGTCGCGAAGGAGGGCGCCGTGGGTGTAGCTGTTGGGGTTGGACCCATGCACTGTCTACTACCTCACTGTGGTGGACCCCATCATCATCTGTCTCCACATCATCCACAGAATCCAAATCACAATCATGTACATACGCATAATCATCAGCCACCACCTTCACAGCAGCCTCTAAGTCCTCATGCTCCGCACATTGGACAGATGAATCATGGCCAGCATCAGTTGACCATCAATATTGGCCATCATCCTCAGCAACAGCAACAGCAACAGCAACCTCAAGGACAGCATCAACAGGGACCCCCGCAGTATCGAATCGTCACGGCAAATCCTCGTAAGCCAAATATTGAGAGAAAATAACGATAAAATGCTGATATAATCCTTAATCCTTGAAATAATTTCACCCTTCAGGATAGAATAATTTAGCAATTATGACGTTGAAAACACTTCGAGGGGGTTTGATAGGTGGAAATATTTTCATTGATGTCGCCCACAATCTGATCCCACCGTTCCACCCTTCTCATTCTTCTTTCATTCACAAGTGGAAGGTCGAATACCTTTCATGCCATCGACTACAGTCATACGTCCACTCATTTGTCCCTAGAATTTTTCTCTCTTTCTGATTCTCACACAGTATATCTTCATCTCGTAAACTATCATTATACTTGAACCAGTGAAGAAATGAGTGATGAGGTCAACCGGTAAAATTAAATGCCTTTGATAGGTCCATTCTCTGTCAGATTGAAGGAAAAAATGTAGAAATGAAGGCGAAAGTCTAACAGAAAAGTCAGTCACCGTCTTCAAGAATGACGTAGCATGTACTAAGAGTTTCGTGACAGGTTTCTTTTCTCTGACTTAATTATAACATTCCCAAAAAATACACCATTTCGAACAATGAAATATTTCTCTAATTAGTTGAGGTTAAAATTAAAATTAGAAGGTAGCCAGCCCGGGAATTATTACGCTTTCCAGAAATAGATTGGCTAAATGTCCGATAGACACAAATAATGAGCCATTTGTAATTTACATTGCCAATAGCATTCGCATAATGGTCTCACTATTATAATGTACACACCTTTATCCTTTTAAACAGTCGAATACGGAAATAATTATTTTTCCAAATCAACAATTTCAAATTGCTGTTAGCTTTGAAATTTCACTTCAATTAGTGGAAGGTAGTTTATGAATTGAATGTATTAAAACAATTTAATACTGGATTTGATTTTGTTTTGATCGGTAAATAGCACTAGGAAGGTCAGCAATTTAAGATTTTTATGAACTTCAGTTTTTGAGATGCTCTAACGTGGGTAAGACATTTTTTTAACCGCACGGAGATGAACAAAGGCAAATTATTCTCCCCTTTTCTCGTTTCATGAGGGGCTTGAGAAAAAAAATCAACAGAAGTTGGTCGAGCGTTGTTCCGATATAGGTCGATCGATGAAATGTACCTTCATTTCCAACAAATTCTGCTGTTAACTCTCCCGTTTAGTTCGCCCAATTGTTACGTCGATACATACAAGGCCTAATACCTCGTTTCTTTTTCTCCGCTGTGGAGTAATTTCAATGGTTTCATTGGTCTTTGAAATCGGCACAGATAACCGTTCCGGAAATCTGGTTAAAGGGGATCAAATTTCTTGGGAAAGTGACCCGTTACATCATAAATATAATTTTACTTTTAATTTATCTTGGTATAGAGCTTGTAAACATTATTGCGAGGGGAAATATAGTTCGGTCCGGGTTGAACAGGTTTAGGAAAAATATGTATGTTTTTGTGATTGTTAGATACATGGAATTCCAATCTGTTATTCCATTCGCCAAATATCGAGGTGTTTACGATATTTGCCGTGTTCGCCCTCTGTCAATTCTCGAGTGCACTAAGTTCATTGCGACTATCCACCAGATAGCGTTGAGAATGAATGTACCCTGCCCACATGTGCTAAACATGGCTGCCTGCAAGTCTCAAGCATATCGTTCATTTTACTCCACAAATACATAAATCGTTTTTTTTTTTTTCAAAATCGTCCAGTGGTTGGTGCATCGAGACTTGATAACTTGCTGGCATAAATAATGCTCACCTGTTGTCGATAGTGAAGAGAGAATAATAACGGTATATTGCACGACTTGTGTTTCGTGTCGGGTACGCGCCAATCTATTCTTTCGGTTAATACTTGTACTTGAATAAAAAAAAAGTACATAGAAGGATAAAACGAGGTGGGAAGAGGACGAATGGCTCACTTTCAGTTTGAGGGAAAGCAGCCGAATATATTGAGATAAGGAGATAAGGAGGAGGCACGTGAGAATTCTATTCACTGACAAGTTGGCAGAAGGCAACGATTACGTTATTTTCATTGCATTAAATTACTCACTCGACACCATTTTGCCTATTTAGTACCATTTAACAAATGTCTCGACCAACAAATTCTCCAGTGATACAGCACTGCATTACAGTGTTGAAGACATCGCTGGTTTTTTGCCGAGTCATATCTCCTGGCATGTGTTACTTGTGAAATCGTACGTTTTTTTTCTCATTCTTTAGTACGAATTTATGTATTTAAATGCTGAAAGCCCAGAATTATACTGTTATTTTTATTTAAAAAAAACATGCACTTGAAGGAGGTTAAATAATTATTTCTGTCGTATATTCAAATTGAATAATCGTCTGGCGATAAATTACAGTTGGAATAATCACGTGTGTGTTTTAATTACCACCATATTGTACATTGCTTGGGAACTAAGGATAGTATTACACGTTGAAAAAAAGAACGAAAAAAACAAATAGTCGATGAAATTGTTGGAGAAGTTGACTAAATATTTTTTTTCTTTATTTCAATTTCCAGGATCAGAATTTCATGTACCTGGACAGAATTACGGTGCCCAACCAGGGGCTCAGGTGGGTGGTGGTGGGGGAAATATAGGTGTACCTGGTGGTAGAAGTCCTTCACTAGGTGGTATTCCCCAAATTGGTCAAGGTACGCCTGGCATACAGCCCGGTGGTCAGCAACAGCCTCCACAACCGCCGACACCCGGTGTACAGCAACAGCAGCCACAAGGCCCTGCACAAACTACAACACCACCGGTTCATACACCATCTCCACAAGAGATGAATAAACAAGGCCATTTACAGGCGCAACCGCCCTCCCTGCAACCACCCTTCGTGCCCAATCAGACAAGACCTGTTACACAGGTAAACTTTTCCTCAATATTTTTCATTACAATTATTCCAATCAAACAAACTTTGCAAATATAATAGCATATTCCTATAACGAATTTTTCGTTATTCATTTGAACTCATGATTTCACTTTCAATGCCAAATACTTTGAGAAAAATGTATATTGCCTCAGAGGATATTCGATGACATTTGACCGTTTATTATTATTCTTGTTGTTCACAATATAAGTTGTTCAAGTGAATGGGAAGGAAGAAGAGTCACAATTTTTCAATTTCAATTTTAAATTTTTAATCTCAGAATTTCTATCAAATGGGAGCGAGACAACCACAAACCAGGAATATTCATCGTGGTAATCAGGGGGGTACTCCACATGTTGTTGCAATACCTAATGTGACCACAAGTACTGGGCAACCCCAAGCCCTGTATCAACAAAACATCGCGGCATCTTCGATGTACCTTTCTGGACAGGTTCCCAGCCTTTCACAAGCGCCGGGTTATCCAATGAATAATCATATGCAACCTCTCCTTGCCGTAAGTGTCCATGAAGAATGTATTTATTTAAAACAAATCGGAATTTATTTTTCTCTAACTTCTTGACTTGCCTGTTGACAGTATCCCTCACAACAGAGGCATCCATCGCATCAATCGCCGCCATTCTTCCCAGGATACCCACCCCATTCGCTTCTACCTCCAAATGTATATGGTGGATATGCAACTGGGCCTCAACAATGGAGTAAGAGTAATCCTATATTGTTCATTCGACATTCGCCACTTTAAAACCACATTCATATATCATTTCGTTGGAATTCATTATATTAATTTGAACATAATCAAATTGAACATTTAATTTCTATTTCACTCTAATTACTACTTTAGAATTTAGGGTTTCGAACAATGAAGCAGAAGTAAATAGTACTATTCATTTAACTAGTATCAGCACGGAAGATTATTGTTATAAACAAATTGAAAAGTGAAGGAATTTACGATTTTTATCTACAGAATTCTTTGACATGCATCCCTAGAGGCTTCAGAACAATGAATAATTGATAATTTATAAAATTGCTAAGTCTAAAGGAAATTAAATAAGGCATGGGCGAACTTAGTATTTTCCCCACATTGCCGAACAGTTAGTAGCAAAGAAAAAGTTCACCAGTTATCGATACACCATTCAATTTGCATGTAACTACGACACTTGAGATTAATTTCTGTTATCTCATAAGTTTACTGGTTTTTTGAAATTCTACATATGTCTTCTTAACAAATGAAAATAGGCATTTAAAAAAACCATCAATTTCGTGATGGTTATTCCTTTCCCTGACCAAACAGCGAATACCTTAATAGAATGCCATTTTCGTTTTGTGATAAGTCATTCCTGTGAATGTATCGAGGAATTTTTCCTTTATCCATATTATCTAAATTCCATGTTTGTTTCATTCCGAAGATTTCCCGTAATCTAATCACCTTATGGAGTATTGTAAATCATCATTAGAAATGTTAATTTTGAAACACAAGGTCAAGGAATTTTTTTTCTCTAAGTTCGTCCATCCAATTATATCAAAAGATTTCTTACTATATTTTTCTAACGTGTTCATTTCTGTATATAATTAGTTCACTAACTTGAAAATAATTAAAAATATTTCTTCCTCAGACTTTTATCCAACTCATACGCCACCCAATTCGTCGATAAATTTAAATCGAGCAAGTACTAATCCCGTTAGTGGAGGTGGTCAAAATGTAGGAGGCCCGCTGGTCGGGGCTCAAGGTACGGCCGGTGTACCACAAGGTACATTGCAGCAACAACAACAACCACCACCGCAACCCATACCACCAATGGCCATGCCACTACAACAACCAAGTAAGTTTATCATTCAATTCTTAAAAGTTCTCAACAAAATCCTTACGTTCTACTACACAAATTTAAATTCATTATAATTTAGAAAGTTGTTGTTATTATTTGAAACATCAAGCATTTGTTACTATTGGTCACATTTGAAACTACCTATTGCAAAACGAGGATAAACTGCTAGGATTTCCCATTCTTTACAAACTAATGTTGAGCGTCCAGATTAAATTTGACAATTTTCAAAAATGCTCAGATCTCTTATTTCCCTCTCAGCATTAAAAAAAAAACAAATTGATAAACTAGACTTTTAATGTACATTAATTTCTCTTCATAAATTTAGTGGTTGTTATTCTTGCATGAATTAATTTGGTGATATATAATGTTCACATTAAACAGGCAAATATTTATTTTGCGTTTGTCAATTAATAAGACTGGATGAATTGTCAGCTGAATGCACTCGACATACGACGAAGAAAGTGATTTGCTAATATATCCACCATATCTAAACATTTTATGAATATTATTTCAGAAGACATTTTCAAACTCCAGATTTAGTTGTAACATTCCTTATTTAGAGAAAACCCACAGGCTTTTGCAAATAAATAGATTGTAGGAATTTCGAAGAGTTATTTCCCCAGACTTGCTAAATAGATTACTATTGCAATAGCTTTTTCTTTGAATTCCCTAAAGTATAACGGGCTTTCTTAGTCTTGTGTCCTTCTAAGAAGAAGGAATGGTCAATGCAACGGGGGAAATAGCATACACCTAGATTGCATGTTCGTTTCAGCTCCTCCCCTCTTTCTTTTTCTGTAATATCTTGTCAGGTAGACGCAAGGCGCCTTGGGACCATTCTTCCCTAAAATTGGGAAATTCATTCAGTTAGGCAAATGGTCTTCAAAGTGTCAACCTCAGCTTTTAAACTTAATTCAAGAACTATTTCTCTTCAGTCATTTGAGTTTTCGATTATAATTGGTTGTGCATAATGTTCGTGTCGAATGGCCGATATGGCCTTTACTTCACCTCTAGTTACGGCTGTATGTGAATTAATTAATTTTCTCTATTAATAAACCGCAAATGAGATATAATTTCTGTGGGGGATTATGAATAATTAAATGAATACTATATTTTTAATTACGAAAATTGAAATTTTAGTTTCTTACGCAGCATAATTTAATCACTAGACATTGCATGAGATGTAATGTTCTAATCAAAATTTTCGTATGATGAGAGAGATAATTCACTATTAAACTTAATATGGAACTTTATTTTTGTTTACTTTCCAGCTTATCCGGGTCACAATCGTGGTGCACAAACTCCCGTAAATACGTTTCAAAAAGTGCCAATGCGGGCACACGCCATAATGGACATTGTGAATCCACAGACAGGTGAAAATGTAGCCGGCGAGATATACAGAAATGCCGCAGCTCCCGAAGAAACAAAACCCCGTGAGACTCCACAACCGCAGGTGAGTGAGATAAATAAACTGCCATAAAATATCCCAGTGAAATATCTGATTTAGCACTAGTGAGATTTTATTTGTTACAACTTGTGCTTCGAATATGTACATATTTCAAATTATAGAGGAGAGAATTGGAAGAGCCTAATGAAAAGTACGATTAAATATTATTGTTTTTTTTTTCAACAATTTGATTTGTGATATCTTCTTGACTTTCTGAGTGAATTACGGAAAATACACTGCTAGCAGAAATCGAGAAAATATTTGAATATTATGATTTTTTTCATTGAATGAACATTTATTGTGTAAGAATAATCATTACCATGAATGATAATGAATTGATAAAGTTTCCTAAAATCAGTATTGAGGATTTTCAAATTTAGTGATCCACCTGCCGATAAACTTTTCCCCAGTAAAAACGATTATAGTCTATCACATAAAAATGGTGATTGTTTCAGAATTCGGCAATAGCAGCCGAATTCGCATCGCGTGTCGCGAAAGCGGCTAGTGAAAGTGGCGATAATTCACCGTCGGAACTTAATCATACGCCTTCATCATCGACAACAGCACCGAGTCCAACAAACGTTAAAACCCAAATAAATTCTAGCAAAGATCCTATCCATAACCAATCAAATAATGCTCCTCTGACGCCTATAAAGTCAAATCCTCCTCGATCCCAAAATATCGATAGTCAATCAAGTGCTCAAGAAACGTCTCAAGTTGAGATTGAGTCGAAGCCAGTGGCCTCGGTAGCCAAAGACTGGCCACGTAATGATACAAAACAGCCGACTATTTATCATAATGAGCACCAAACACCTCTTCTTACTAATAAAGAGAATATTCTCCCCCAACAGTCCTCTCCAATTCCCCCAGTGGCAACAATTGAGTCTGACGTTAAGAGTTCAGCTCCAGCTACAACTACAGCCACAACCACAGATCCAATTCCTTCTCAAATTGAAAATACTGCCCCACAACCTGCCCGAGAGTCCTTATCATTGACCAAGACACCGACGAGCTCACCACCAAGACGGAAACCTCATCAACAACAGCAGAGTTCAGCTCAAGTCGCCTTTACTGGCATAAGTACTGGTGACTCTGTCACTGTGACCACCTCAACGCTTTGTACTCCAGCTGCTGAGCCTGTCAAAGAACAGCAGGAGAGGGAAAGCAGTGAGAAGAGTCTTCCTCCCAAGGAGATTGTTTCCAGTTCAACTATTAATCAGGCTGAACAACAGCAACACTTGCAGAAAAATGGGGAGCCTGCCGATAAAATTGATGAGACTAAGGCTGATCAAAAATCTGCAGATGGTGAGTTTTGCTTTTGCTTCATTTATTATATATTTTCCCTCTTACTCATTTATCTTTGTTTTAACGGAACGAGCCATTCAATTTTATCAAAATGTTGATTATTGTCTCATTACATCGATAATGATGCATTAATTGAAGTTTTTTTAACCATTATCAATATTTTTTATTTCCTTCTCGCCCCAAATATCCAGTTACCCAATTTTCTCAGTTACACTCAGCGCAAAACTGTAGGAATTACTAAATAACTGTCAATTTCGGAACTTTATTCTTCGATAAGCGTAAAAATTGTACTTTTGATGAGTTAACGTTTCAATCGCCGCAAGCTCGTTTCCGAAATCAAACGGGATTTTCAGTTGTATTTGAAAGAAGGAGAAGATATTTCTTAGAATTAATTTAACAAAAACCATGTCGCCATCTCAAAATATCAATTTTTTAAATTACACAATAAGTGTTTCTCCAACGAACCACTTACCTCTCCAAATAGTCTACATCTTTATCAATGCCCTAATATAATAAATTCATTCTAAACTTTCAATAAAAAAGTAATAGTAAGCTTCAACGCAATAGACTGTTGGAAAGAGTATCGGTAAAAAAATAACACAGTGTAATAGTTAAATAGCTTGTGGCTTCTCATGCTTCTCACTCTTACTGTGTTTTCACCTAATTTCATTAAAATTATAAACTATACTGACCATAGCTCTCTCTATACGCAATATAATGCACTCATGAAATAGCGGATAAGTAGAGGATGGTTAATTGAGTAAATAGAAGTGCGGTCGGGGGATTGGGTGTTGGTTACAAAGGATCGCGTGCTTGGAAAGAAATATGTACTTAAAATAACGTAAATTCAATGTATTTGATATTTATTGTCTGGCTGTATCTGATTTATCTGTTTCCCCTTTTGTGTCCTTCGAGGATGTTTCGTATTTTTGTTTACCTTTACCTTTAGCCAATTGCAGCTCAGTGGTTAAGTTGGTTTCCGGCATGGGCACGTGCCATGTCCTTTCTTTAAACTTTCTCTACCTTTAACCTCTAATTTATCACCGGTAAATTAGTGCGTACCGCTCCCAGTCCAACCCCTCATTTCTTCAATTTCACATAAATAAACAAACTTAAACAGACGGAAAAATAAATCGTTCGAATAATAATAACAAGTAGCCATTAGTTGTGTTGAGTTCAGGCGTTTGTTCGGCAGAATGTAACAATATTTTCTCCATACAAGCCACGTGGGGTGTGTTCCAAGCATCCAACAAGTTTTGTAGTATCCACTTTTATATTTAACAGTGGAAAGAACTTCTTGATGCAATTCAGCACTTCATTCAGGGGTTGTATATTATTAACGTCAAATTTGCAAAAGGTGAAATTCTTAACGAGTTAACTGAAAGTTCAAGCGATATCTTGTGACGACCAAAATATTGTGTTATCAAAGAGACTAAAGTTTCTCAACAGAAAGCTTGAAAATGGGAAAGAAAAAACATGGTGAGAACTCTCAAAAGTTATTTATTCATTCGTCGCCAAGATTAATAATAATTCCACCGTGTCTATTGGTGTCAAATTATTCGACTATGCGTTAAAGCCACAAGATTCTCATGGAACACTGTTGGGTACATTACAAAAATATCTCCAAAATGTCAATGCCTTCGATGGTATGAATACGTAGAATCTTAAAAATGGTTAAAACATGGGTGGCTAAAACATGTTGATATACCTTATTCAAAAATAATGCCCCTATTTACTTAACATCATATGAATAAAATTTGATGGCTTTAGAGCATTGAAAAATCATGAACATTAATAATTACTGTGAATTAAAGGGATAAAGCCGTTTGACCGGTGATAGGTGAAGTTTTTTTGAGAATCATGAAGAATGTTTGAAGTAACATACGAGAGAAGAATAGGGATAAGATCGAGCGATGATATGACGTGTGCAAATACGAAAAGTATCGAGGGTAACCGAGTTATTAGAGAGCAGCTTTTGCAAAAAATTACCTGGATATCGGTAATGTTCGGCCTCCCACGAAATATTCTTCCTAAATCTGTCTAGCGTCGAAAAAAAAGGGGATTTTTCTACAGAATACATTGAGTACATTGAGGCATCTATGAGAGAACTGGCAGAACTTTGTAAGATGATGGGGTGGGGAAAAAGAGAATAAAGTGGGAGAGGAACGATTGGGCTGGCACGGCCATGGAAATTGTGTCGCCCTCGGCCCTCCACAAGCCAGCAGCACGTGCTGTGCTATCCAGTTCGTCTTTATACCCTCATAATCTGTACAACTCTTTTACTTAATACCCAACAAACTCACTTTTTACTCATTTTTTATTGTGTATATTTTTGTTTTATTTTTATTTAATTTTATTTACCACTTTAATACTCTGGAGTCTTCATTTTAATAGATATATTTTTTTTACAATTTTGTGCTCTCTACACGCAATTTTTTCACGTTTTTTTTTCAATTATTTTTTTATTTATCTATTTATTTATTTTATTTCTAAGAAATGAATTTTAATAACTTTTTGTTGAAACAAATTCATTGAGGTTTTAAGTACTGTCTTTATTTTATCGAGTTGAAAGTTTTATTGCCATGAAGTGCAAAGTTCACTGCTGTCTGAGAAGATGCCCTCGTCTCATTGTGTATGTATGTATTTTTAATTTGATATTAATTTATTTTTAAAAGTTTAACTGAAACGTAAGAGATGAAGAAAATGTGGGATATCTGGGGTGTAACATAACCAAAGTTGAAATTCATGACAACGTGGTCTCACCGACCATCTTGTAGAATTTCAAAGGGGGCACATTTCCGTTGTTAATCAACAACTAGTTTACTTAATCATTAAATACGCGATTTCCATCAAATTCTGGATTATTATTTTATATTGAAAATTGATAGATTTTTTCATTTCATTTATTCATCAGCCATTCAGTTGTATTGCTTTATTTTATTATACTAAGGTTGGAAATTTGATAATCTGTGGGCGGAAGTGATTGGGACAATATGGCGCCTCATATTTTCGCCTGCCATTATTTTTTCGTCTCCCATCGATAATAATTATTGTTTTGTCAGCGTCGATAGTCGTGGAAAATGCTGTTTCATTTACTTTATTAATCAGTATTTATCCATCGATTTTATCCAACAAGAAGTCGAAAATTTTTTGCTTTTTCGGAGTTTATGGTCACGTGGAAATATCACACATGATTAACCCCTTTTTCAATAACCACACTTTCAGTGCCATAAGCAATAATAATAATGAATATAAAGAAATTTTATGGAATTATTACTATAATCACACATCTATTAATGTAGGTTCGATTCGCTAAAAATATATTGGATGAGGAGTGGAGGAGCATATGGTATTTATAATATCGTGGCCATTTTGAGTGGATAGTTTTTCAAGAAAGTCATCCATATTGAATGCGCGTGGGTTCTTGCACTCGTTTGAGAATGTGATCAAACTGGATTCCCAGCTTCTTATCCGTTTTTTTCCCCTCTTTGGTTTCATCATAAATGTTCTCAGTATAGAAAGTCGCAAGAAAAATAGAATATTGATATGAAATTTACGAAGTCATCTATAATAATAGAATAAAATTAACGAAAAAGTATAATGGAAGAAGATATTTTAGATAAGTACTGCTCAGAATTAATTGTCGGATTTAGCCCTTGAAATTTATTTTTGGATAGATGTACCGTGTATGAGAACATTATCAAACAAGACTTTGGTTAATTTTTCATTTTCAGTGGCCGGGTCTTGGTCACATTCACTTTATACATTCGATTTGCAACACCCTTTTTTTCGTTTCGAATCGTCCTTCAAATGATTTGCGCTCACTTCCAAGGACAAGTGAAAGTTAAATGGTTTTACGTGATTTTCTTTATTTTTGATTTTTCTCCCTGCATGCCACACCTTCCTGAACAATAAATGTTAACGGTCAAAAGCTCAACTTTTCGTTCTAAAAATTAACCAAAAGTTATTTTTCCATAAAACCCAGTTATCGATTAATAATCGTAGACAAAAAGGATAGATTAAGGACGTTAATCGTGAAAAATTCACATAGAAAATAACGAACCTGGTTTATTAATTTTCATTTTATATTATTATATTTTTCATCTCTATTTTAGAAAGAAAAACATGAAATTTGATGGAATAGGAGAGCTTTTGTTTAGAAAGTGCTGCCTCGAGCCGGTTTATAAAATGTGATTGAACCTTCGTTTCATGCATGAAATAACGTGTCACGTGGCACATGCCATGTGCCAACTAGATGACCAATTGCGCTCAATCCATCGACACAGTAAATTTGCATCTTATGGGAAATGTTATCTAAATAAAATGAAAATTAAGGGAATAATGAGTGGCAGGATATTGAGAAGCGACACCGGCAAAGCTTCTCCGTCGGCTAGGTTAGAGCGATCATACGATAATCACCGTGTGCGCGTGCTCCTCAAGACGACACTCATATACTCAGTTGAAACTAATTTAAGATATTGTATGTCCGTTGCTCGTCGGTTTGCGCCAGTTTGTAAGCTAAAATAGATACGTGAAAGTCGCCTCGATATCACCGTCGACAAATTTTCATCCCTTTCAGTTTCAATTCTCCAACATTTCTCTGCTATTTATTATTTACAATTACCAGACTGGCGACAATTGAACTGGAATTTTTCTATTTTTATATCTCCGCACATGAATATTGAATTTGTAATGTCGAATTTCCGAGTGTTTTCAAAATTTTCACAGTTCTTTCCACAATCAGTCAATTATATTAATAAAATGATAAAACTGTAAACGTTTTCGGTGTCAATGCTCGTCTCCGTGGCATTGTTGCTTTTATAAAAGTGAAGCTTCATGTACGTTGGCAAAGCTCCGATGGTTTTATAAATAAATTCTGAATCAGTGCAGCTGCCCGCGAGCATCGTGAAACCCGAGACTTGCAGAATTTCAAGTCTTGTCATTATTTTATCATTATTTCCCCCATTTTTCACCAATAATCGTTAAAGTGAATCGACGTAAAGTCACCGGGAGTTCAATATCCAAGTGAAAATCAATGGGTGCGATTTTAGCCGTTATAATTTTGTGAAACAGAGAATCGGCGGTGCAGCTCAAGGTTTATGAGAATGAGCGAACGGACAAAAAATGGCAGCGGTGGTTCAAGATCGAGAAGCCGGAATCGACGTGGATCACGAGATCATGGTACACCCATCCATTTCCGACCCCATTCATTCCAAAAATCCCATCCAGGTACAATCCTTTAAATACCTCTACAATTATTCAAAAATCCGTCAACTCCTGTCAAACTGTTAAAAATGCTCTAAATTCCCGTTTCATTTAATTCCTGTCCCACACTCAGTTCAATTACCTTTACATATCTCAATAATTTTCCAACATTCATATGCCTATGTATTAAATGTATTAAACATTTCGAGAAAAGGAAAGCGAAAAAGTAAACCGTAACGGCGACGTTCTAAAATTATCCTCTCGCTCAAAGGGTAGAACCGGTAGACTCACTTTTAATTTCAACTTCTTATTCATTTTTTCTTCAGCTCAGCTTTAGCATTTTTATTCAACCATTCGAATATCTTAATATAAACGTGTGACATTCCCTAAATTAGAAACTCATTCCATTTGTGTGATTAAATATATCAAAAAGAGAAAAAAAACTCGCACACGTAGAATAAGACAATTAAAATTATTAAAGTTATTAAAATTATTAAAACTATTAGAAAAAAATCACTGGACAATTGTTTGATTGTTTTCAGGCAAGGGTAACCAAAAACAGAGAGGTAAGATTAAACCTAAAGCCCGTGATCTCAATCGCAAGGGTGCGGAGAAAGAGGGTACAGATATGGATGCCTTCGCAGTACCCCAATCAGTGAAAACTGATGGTAAAAATCAGCAGGAGCATCCCCATGAAGATCAGCCAACGAAGGCTGTCTGCAGTACGGAAAGTAAAATAGAGACACCTGAAGAGAAGCCAGACTCTGAGCCAGAGCCGACGATAGAAGTTGACCAAGAGGAGAGCATCAAGTCAGAGGTTTTGAAAGAAACTCCTGAGACTCAGCAATCAGAAAAGATTGTTCAAAACCATAAAGATCCTAGCAAAGAATCAACTCCAACGATTGAAGACAGCAATAAGTCCTCGATTATTGCTGATAAATGTGTCAATGATGTGGTTGATCATGCTAGCATGACAGACGTCAGTGATGTTGAAGCTATTGTTGCCCAGAAGAATGAGGAGAATGCCAAAGTCTCTGGTTTGTCTCGTGCCCCGAGCGAAACCAAGACTCTACCTATGGCAGATAAGCAGAATGAGAATGAGCCACCAAATCAGCCTGAATCTAAAGCTCCCCTGCAATTGAAATATCAGTATGAAGATGATCAGTGGAGTCCAAAAAATATTGCTGGAAAGAAACGATATGGGAGGGATCTCCTCATGAAACTCCAAGAAGACCCGAAAAGTCAAGTTAGGCCCCCAAATTTACTTGACTTAGAAGTCGTTCTCAAGGATAGCACGAGGCAACCCACTAGGAATGTCGTTGATTTGAGTGCGTATAAGGGAAATAGGACACACGAAACTCTCTTCCCTGGCTTTGCCAAATATTCATTCAATGCTAAACTGGTAAATATACATTTTAAATTTATCATCTTTGAACTTTTTTTTATTCTTATGTAATTATGATAATTCAAAATGATGTTTCATTATTTAATGAAAGTAGTGGACTGAATTGTGTTGATAAGACAATCTCACGACTGATAACCAATTATTTGATAAAAAGCGCAATGTTGAATTTTATATAATCAATTTTATGACATAAGACGACATTAAATTTTTTCAGCCACCTCCTCCGAATAAAAAGAGTTACCAAGGCAGTAAGAAACCGTCTAAACCAAATGTGATTCATTTATCGCTTTCGTTGCGCGAGGATGTAAAACTACGAGAGACTGAGAATGCATGGAAGCCAACAATCTTGAAGAGTGAGATGCTGCCGGCTGATGAGGCTAAATCTCAAATTCTTTACAAAAAAGTAAGGAGCGTGTTGAATAAACTGACACCACAGAAATTCAACACACTAGTTAATCAAGTTAGAGCGTTAGAGATTGATACACAGGAGAGGCTACAGGGTGTTATTGATTTGGTATTCGAAAAAGCAGTGGATGAGCCCAATTTTTCAGTTGCATATGCATTGATGTGCAAGGAATTGAGTGGTATGAAAGTGTCAACAGGAGACAAGAGAGTTGATGAAAGTGGCAAGAACTTGGAAATCTACGTTGATTTTCGTAAATTGTTGCTGACACGTTGTCAAATAGAATTTGAAAAGAATCTGGTTGATGAATCATCGAGAGCAGCTAAAGTACTAGAAATTGAGAATACAGCAGATCCAGAAAAGAAGAAAGAGCTTCAGTTCAATCTTTCTGAGGAAGACAGAAGATTACGAATGAAATCCGTTGGAAATATTCGATTCATTGGTGAACTGTATAAACAGGACATGCTTATAGCGAAAATTATGCACACATGTGTCAGTCATCTTCTCGCAACACCTGACGAGGAGAACCTCGAGTGTCTTTGTAAATTATTAACTACAATTGGTAAAACATTGGAGCCTAAGAGTGAACCTGCTATGTTTTCTGGGTATTTCAATCAACTAGCAGAATTATCAAGTAAGAGAGCAACTAAGAAAATCAGTTCCCGAGTGAGGTTCATGATTCAAGATGTCATCGACTTGAGGGCTAGTCAATGGATACCTAGGAGAGATGATAGTAATCCCAAGACTATGGATCAAATTCAAAAGGAGGCCGAGTCTGAAAGATTAGAAATTCAAATGAACAATAGTACACCTATAAATACACCAAGGAGGGATGATCGTAATAATGACAGAAGAAGAAATCGTAAGTTTTTGTCATATTTAAATCATCAATTGAGTTTCTCGATCTTATTAGCGTTCTTTATTCAATTTTATGATGATATTTATGTCATGCCAGACTGGAGTTTCTGATGCACTGTGATTTTCTTTTTTTTCTAATTCTGATAATTCTGAAAATAGAAAAATTACATATATCTGGATTCATTATGAAATATTATTAAAATGTTTTTCTTGATATTATGTATTTAACAGGTGGAGGTGGTAGTGGTGTTGGTGGTGTTGGCGGTGTTGGCGGAGGTAGTGCTGGATATGACGATGGATGGATTGTCGCTCCATTTGGAAAAACTAGTAGGCAGCCATATGCGGTGGAAGTATCAAAATTGAATGCCAAGTCACTTCCACTTGAAGAAACCAAATTGGGCAGTAGAACCGCATATATTTTTGGTGGATCTGCAGCGGCTGCTAAACCAAATACACTCGGAACTAATAAGTATGCTCCTCTTGAGGATTTGGAGCAGGACAAGCAAAGAGTGACACCTCAATTACCAGGGTTAGTTTTTACAGAATTTTCTTACTCATTTCCCTAATAGGAAGCCTATTAGCCTATTATAATAAAAATTAAAATTTTATGATGACACAATTTTTTTCAGACTAGAGTTTCTGAATCTTCTAAAACTTCTATGATTATTCTGTTGTGCTGAAATTATTAAATAAACATACATCATTATCACGATCTGTTACATATACTTTATTATTGATAATATTTTTTTTACAACAGGTCGAGATCGACCGGTGCAAGAGAATATGGCAGAGCCGATCAATACAAAGCATGGGGTGAGTTAAAAGACAAAAATTTTTGTTCATTGCATTTTTATAAATAAAATGATGATAATTTTTCGATAATTTGAAAAGCCTCAAAGATTGAGAGCTTACTGTTGTTTAGCCAAAAGGATTCTGACATTGACATTCATGAATCAATTTCATGTTTTCCTTTATATTCAGATAATTTATTGAATTATTTGAATTTTCAGAAGGTCGAGGTTCAAGAAATGGTGGTCACATGAATAGCAGCAGTAGCATGTCATCGAGTCGTGAGGGTTCACTTCCGGAGGCAGCTCGTAGTCAAAGTGTTTCAATGCCTACGTCATCAATGAAATATAAAATACCTGCCTCAATAGCAATGCCTAGTAATCCAGTTAGCAAGCCTCCCCAAACTGAGGAACAATTGAAAACAATCATCAGGTCTGTCCTGGATAAGTGCAATGGCCCCCAGACCGATGCATTCATTGCGGTAAATATTGTGTTTAATTTTCCAATAATTTTAAAAATAGAAAATTCCATTCATTGGTTTGTTCATTAAATCCAGCGAATCAATAAACTTTCTTTGAACATGCACGCTCCTTAGATCCATCTCTGATTACTCAAGGAGATGCTTGAGTCATTGGTGTGCTATACTATGCAATACCTCATTTCTCGTCTCCCTTTGCTGATCAAATTTTCTGTTTGAAAATTATTTAATATCGACAAATAGACTAGAAAGTGGACATTTCATATTTTAAATAGTAATATTTATAATGCCCAATTGACCAATTGACCCAATTGATTATTTCATATTTATTTTTTGTTACAGGGTGCTGTTAAAATAATGAAAGAGCATTTTGACAATTCCACTTATCCATTCTTTATACGAGAGACATTGAATTCAATATTGGAAAAACCTGCTCCGTTTAGACAGCGATTTTCAGGCCTTTATGCTCACATGATAAATAATAATACGATTCCCCTGTCGCTATTCCAATCTGAGTAAGTACATGATATTGAGATGATTTCTATTTCAAACAAAGCATTGATTGAACTGAATGATGATAATATTGATAACTAGAGAAAAGATACAAGAGTATTTTTGTGTTGTATAGCCAAAAGGATACTGAGTTTTTTATTAAAAAAAAATACAATGCATCAGATATATTTCATGTTTGTAAAAGAATTTTCTCTAACACCACAGATATGAGAAATATTTGGAAGCAGCCGACGACCTAGTCATTGATATTCCCAGATGCTGGACGTATTTTGCGGAAGTTCTATGTAAGTAATGAATAAGATGAATTTATCAACACTCTTTATTTTTACAAATTGTTATTATTTTCAAAATGAACACAAAATGATGTAAATTATTCTTACACCGTATCAACCATGACGGTTTGTAAAAGCTCAACAGGCCTGAAAATATGAATAAATAGTAGAATAAAGTGAGTAATTAGTGATGATACAAGTAATTGATGAAATAAATGCATATCCACAGCGGAAATGATTTACCTTGGCGCCCATTCGCTGGAAGAGCTGAAAAAGACTACGGTGGTGCTCAAATCTATGGGTAGCTGTGGGAAACTAGTAGGTGAGCTGTTGAGCAAGCTTGCTAAGGATTTAGGACCCAAAGTAGTAGCTGATAAATGGGACCAAAGTGGACTGCGATGGAATGACCTCGTTGATCCATCACTTGAAAATCCAGACGATATTGTTGAGAAATATAAGCTTGAATTTCTTACGTCTGACTGTATTGGTACTGAAAAATGTTCTGGTGCTGGTTTAACGCTCGATCAAATTCATGATCAATTGGTTAACTTAATGCGCGGCAGCCATTTTGACAACATTACCAGTTGGATTTTGGCGAATGTTGGTGGAAGGTCCAAACAGCCACAATTTATACGAATCCTGGTGACAGCTATTCTAGAGGTTTCTATGGAAATAATACCTGCTACTGCAACCACCGCGGCATCCTGGAAACTTAATAGTGAAACTTTTAAGAGTTTACTACCTTTAATAACTCGCTTCGTGGACACAGAGCCACACCTCGAGCTCCAGTGTTTATTCGCTGTTCAAGCCTACGTTCACAAATTGGAGCATCCCCAAGGTACACTCATTACAATTTTTTTTTATTCTATGGTCATTGTCATTGCCACCTACAATTTATCATTATTAATATCTTACTAAATCGCCAATTTTTGTTTTTTTTTCAATTTCAGGAGTTTTAGGTAATGTAATCGACGCCTTATATGAAGGTAGTATAATCTCCGACGATGCCTTCCTCTCGTGGCAACAATGCACAGACCCAGTCGAGATGATGGGCCATGCAGTGGTTGTTAAAGCCCTCACATCATTCTTCGTTAACCTTAAGGAAAATCTCGATGAGTCCAGTGAGGAGGCATGAGAGCACATCAACACATCAACACTTGGTAGCTCCAATAAATGATGATCAATTGATGGAATAAAAAGAAATGAAAAAAAACGCAGGGACGAGTCAAGAGTCACTCCACGTTTTTTCCATCCCCAACAATCGGTTGTAAACACCTGAGTTATAGACGCCGGTTATTCTTTCGTTGTTGCATTCATTGTGACATTGACGAAAATGCTCAACTCGTCTCCTCGACTCGTGTCTTCAAGAGAACCCGTGCTAAAATAAAAAAAAAACAAAAACAAAAAAAAACTTTATATTTTTTAGAAAAAACACTTCGTACACATTATAATGAAAAAAAAAATATATAACGAAAAATGTTTCTCTTCATTACCAACAAATGTGAGGCCAAATTGCTGGGAATGTTTTCAAATGAAAACTTTTCAACATTAAATTATTAAGTGAACCATTCAAATATGAATAATATTGTGACAAGTGGGGATTTATGCGAGGCTGTCTGTATTATAGTCTAGGACGAGGCAAACATGAAGATTTAGACGGGTTAGAATGAACGAAATTGAGTTATTATTATAATAAAGAAATTGAAGGAATAAAAACGGAATGTGAGCGAGAGAGAAATAGAGAGAGTAACTATGAAAACAATTGTCGTATTTGAGATACGCTATACATAATGATTATAAATATTTAATTAATTAATTGATGGAAAAGTATGCAAGATTATTATTATTATCATTATTATCATTATTACAATTATTATTATTATTATTATTATTATCTATTATCTATTATTATCTATTATCTATTCATTAAAGAATCATTTGAAATTGAGTGAAAAACAAACACGATGCAACATAAAAATGAAGATGAAAAATTTCATACGGAATACGTACATGATTTATTCGAAATATATTATTCTTTCGTATTTGTGCTCATGTAAAATGAAGACGTAACGACGCATTGATAAAAGCTCTACGCTTTTTTGCACGGTCAATCATTGATAACAATAGCAACAATAATAAAAATAAAGAACGATTTATAATGAGTACATTGATAAAAAAAAAATAGACGATATTGTGACGGTTCTTCTCCAAAAAGTGAAATCAGTCAGTCCAACATTACTTTCTTAAGTGAGCAAACTTTGACTGAGCCAGCAAAAAAAATTGAGAGTAAAAAAACAACAATTGTTCTAATAACTTGATTAAGAGGTGATCCACAGCATCATTACGGAACACTGAAAATAATGTGCTTTAACGAAACGTTACTATTTTTCAAAACAGCCCTAATTATTTATAAAGAAAAAAAAAACAATAGGATTAATTAGGAAAGTGAACTGTATGAACGGAATGGAAACGAATGTTTGGACGTTTGCTCATGTGAGTTTTTTTTATGAACGTGAACTTGTGACTACCGTTTGAATGAGGAATATATATGATATATATTGTGTACGTCGAGACTCGGATGAGTTTTTTTTAGACCGACTGACATTGCATGGAGGTCCGGAAAAACCACATGATTAATTTGTCAATGCAAATGAAGGATAACTGAGATGAATACATGGACGGCACGGCGAGTACTCGCCTGCACGTATAATTATTGTAGATAGTATATTATTGGTGAGGAAAGGGAATACAATCTATTATGATTTTTCGATGGAATTACTTTAGCCAACAAATTGGGAGGAGTAGATAGAGAAAAATAGACACAGAATAATCGTGTCGTGATCGTGGGTGGATATCCAATGAGAAGTTATCGTCATATTGATCGACGCCCGGCTGGTCGGGGCGATGACATGAAGATTTTCAATCAAGTGGAAAGGCGAGAAAATTTTTTGGCGGAATCAGTTGTCTCAACTCGATATTCCCCAACATGAAACATTTTCTCGTTATTACTGAAAATCATTTGATTCTTTCGCCCCATTTCTCTTATAGATTCCCTTTTGGCGTATTGATGAGAAGTTATTCATTGAGGTATGAATTCCGAAAAATGAATGATCAAACAACGGTTACAGATAAATAAGACGCCTAGGTACATAAATGATCATTTTTTATTTTGCATGTACATAAATGAATTGAGTCGCATCACCAACTTTTGCAAGTAAATTTATAGATTCACTGGATGGAATCGCCATACTGTAGTTACTCACTCAATGGACGAACGATAATGTATGAAAATCTTCAAAAGTGCGACAAAATGATTTTGAAATATAAAATAAAATAAATCATCGCTGTAAGTGTTCGCAGGATCCGTGTCTCGAGTCTTTTTTGTCTCTGTAATTTTTTATTAGAGTGTAAAAGATAGGTGAATCAACAGAAAATGACCGCGCATAGACACGGACAGCTGAACATTGTACGTTCATTTTTTACACTCCGTTAAACTACGAACATAAGAGGAAAATAATTAAAAAAAATAATGAGCGAACGATGATGTGAATTTAATATAATTTTGCCTCCTACCCCTGAAAATACGACATATTACTCGAGCAAATGTAAGCATTTCAATCCATGGGGTGATCTACATGCTCTTTTTTTCCTCAAAACCATCTTTTGTTGTACTCAAATGAATCTATCATTTTCATCCCATGATCTGATTCTCAAAGACGTTCCATACAAACACCCACTCCGTTATTTTGTCGATTATTTTGTCAAGACCCCCTCAAAGTGGTGCACGAATTAGATAATGAATAAATAAATAATTAATAATAAAATTATAAATAAATATATTATACAATTCTAGTATAATTTATACGAGAGTACTGAAGTTGTTGAATAAAGGTATAGAATAATAATTATTAAAATGAAAAAAAAATGCAGGAGCGAAAAATTGAATGGGATGGAAGTTCGAGGGTGTGAGGGATGATACCTAACTCTGACAAAAAAAAAACAAGAGGATGTTATAATATTGTAAATAAACATAGCTACATAGTAAAGAAAAAGTTAAGGTGATGATGATGTCATTTGATGAACAAATGGGTAGTGTTAAATGTGCAATTAACTCTTGAGGGGCCAAGAGGAATCGTGAAAAGATCCGTTGCATATTTTCACACTACTTTTTTATTCATCGGTCAATAAATGAATTACACATATATATATATATTTATATATATACATATTTGTAATTGCCTATATGTATATGTATATGGGTATGAATATAAATAAATGAAAAATTGAACGCTAAGAATTCAGAAATAATACACTATAAACATGCAAACACATACACCTTCTATATTAAATCATATCTATAATAAAGAATAAAAAAAAATAACTCCATGCCAGAGGATAAAAGGGATATATTTTCTTCATTCATTTGGAAACCTTGTTCAGTGGATAGTCAAATGGAAATTATATTTTTTCAACTCTTCTATTTTCATGCTCAAAATATTAACGTTTCTTATTTCCTGAAGTTTATGATTCATTAACAGGTAATTCTCATTTCATCTTATGTTATGTATGAAAAAAAAAAATAAAGAAGGTGCTAAGTTACGCGAAATAATTTATGAAAATGACAATTTCTTTCATTTATCATTTGCTCGAATCCGGAATTTTTCGTACTGAGTATTGGTGTTGGTCGATTATTCAATAACTATACGTTGTATTTTTTTATTAAAGCACAGAAGATCTTCTAAAATGTGCTGAACTGGTCAGGGGTCCTTCTTCAGCAAAACCTGCGATTTCTTGAGGTATTACTGAATATTCTTCGATACCAGTGCATGGACGACACATGCATTCCAGTGGTGCCTTCGTTGTTATCTAATTCAAAAGGAAAAACCTCACTTTATTACAGCATAAGCAAATCAATAATGAGAATCAATCGTTTTTTAACAAAATCTCTGAACTATATGACAAACACTAGCATTTAACTGGATTCCATTTTTAAGTTTTTCGTAGCACTTCGAAATTAAAATAAAATTGAAAAATTGAACTCAATTATTCGAGTTATTTACAATCCGAAATTCATTTTATCTCACTATACTGTTAAAACATTCATTTTACCGCTTATTTTTACATTCCTAAAATAAGAAACGGTTCATATTCCGCATTCCCTTAAATCAAATCGAGAGCGAAAACGAAAACAACATGGCAGTTCCAATCCCGTGGTGTCAGTTTGTTCTGGAGTGACTTTAAAATACAGCTTACTACAAGTTTCGTAGTTTAATTTAAAAATAATATAATAAACATTGAGGTGCCGTTATATTGAGGATTAATATAAATAAACAACATTACTTTTCGAAACTTGCGTTTTTCTTTGGGACAGAAAAGAGAAACCGTTGCCTCACGTTCGCCGCTCTCCTGACAGCACATGCAGCTTCTCTCCATTTGCCACATTCTCGAGCCAGAAACCTTCAAAATAAAGTGTATTATTTTTTTTCTACTAGAACCTCATAATTTTATTTTGCCACATTTTGTTTTGCTCCTCCTTTCATTAGTCATCCAGGTAATTGCCAATATTCTCCGCCACTTTCTCATGCCTTTATTTTCTCTGTTTAGATTCTCCTCTGCCAATGAAAACAATACACAATAGATTCCTTATTATTAAGTATCATCAATGAGATTTTTCACATTAATTTTTGCATTCATTTCTGCGTGTATATAATTGATTATACATCGTTTTTTAATAATAAAAGTCTTTTTCAATATATTGGCAACATTGTTTCAGTCAAGTGGTTAATTTTATATTTTTAAGAAGTAGAATTGTATTTTTTATTATTTCTATAGTGTTTATTCGATATACCTTTTTATACTATTTATATTTATTCATATGGCTTACTTGTGCTAGTTACTTGTGAATTATTCATTTACGTAGCTTATAATTCTTTATGGACAATTGTCCATGTGTGTGTAGTCTCATTTTTAAATAAATATTTTACCTGTATGTAGCTGCTGCAACGTCCATGGCAGATGAAACTGGGGATTCGTTTCGGAAGACATCCGTCAGCCTTGAGTACGTGTAACATCTTAGTCATCTTGCATTCATCAACACCAACGAGAGCCTCAACTTCCCATTGCAAGCACCAGTGAAGTGCAGTAAAGACCACTAATTTGTAAGTGCCCAATAAAATTATACGATTTCAAAATATCCAAATACAATATAACAGTAAATTAAGAAAGTAGACATTATTGCAGATAGTGATTGAATCTATAATTAATCGGTTGATTACAACAACTATCCATCTTCTAAGTGAAATCCTTGAATGAGACTTGCTCATAATGCAGTTCAAGGTGTATTGCATTATGCTTGAAAAAAAAATTCAATTGTTTTATTCACGAGTGGCTTCATCCTATTTACCAAGATGGAATGTTGACCAGCTCTTCTGATACATTTTTCGAGTATCAGCAAAATGGATACTGTGCTAAGAATCTTAGATGCTGGTCACTTTTATACCCAGGGGTGAGCTCCATTTACGAGACAAGAAACCCAGGGGAGAAAAAAGAGTGGCATTACTTGTACGAACTGTAAAAGTCAACTCTATTCTTTTCTATTCTTCTCTATTCTTCCTGCTTTGCATTTTTCAATAATTTCGGTAATGTCTTAATTAACCACGCTAGATCAATTCAATAGTCCAATAATTCGATAATTATTCGGTATGGATTTTTTAATAGCAATTAACCATTGGTGAGCGCGCAACATCGTATAGAAAGTGACGAAAATGACTGATAAATATTATTAAAAGTAAAGGGTTATGAAGGGTTGAGATTAGAAAAGTTTTGATGGCGTGTACGAGCTGTAAGAGATTCAATGTTTGTACTTTTTTGACAATCATTGTAGAATCAGGCTTTTAATTCATGATCAGGATTTATATAGAAATTGTTCATTCTTTCGCTCAGTAATTTACTTCAATCAATATAAATCGGTTGTTTAAATAACGCGCTAAAAAAATCAAATCATTTTGTGTAGAAATTGACAATTTTGATTTTGCTTCATATATTTTTAATTTTATTTCATCTACCAAATGACAAGATATTTTAGTACATTTTCCATCTGATTTACAATTTATTTAATATTTATTCTTTTTGAAATGAGAATTTATCTGGAGAAATCTCCACATTTGAAACATTTGCAGTCGGCGGGTTCTCGTAGTTTTATCTCCATCGTTGCAGTCGTTGGTTCTACTAACTTTATTCCATCTGGACTGTAGCAGTCGTGTAATATGACATTTCTCTCTTTGAGATAACTCTCTCGGCAGCAATAACAATCCTGAGTGAACGAAAATTTGTTCACGAGTCCATTATAGATATCGAGAATTTATTATAATTTTTTTCAAACTACCTTCAAAAATCCTGTTGCTGTCATAATGCTAGGTTGTACTTGAGAGTTGCAAAAGCCTTCGCATTTTGTAACAGATAAATCGTCGGAACAAGTTCTGAGTAAAATTCCACCTTCATCAAATTCTTCTGTAAAGAATGGTTGAATCAACAATCATTAAGAGATCTTTCATTTTTTTTCAATATGTGTTTCAATTTTCGTACCATGGAAACACGAATTATATGAGCACAACTACCTTTTGTTATATGGATATCTGACGTGAGGGTTTCACAGGTGTCATCAATTTTTTGACTGATAAGAGTGCCCGAAATCATCTCAGTTCCAATAATCGAATATATAAAAATTCTAAGCATTCTGTTGTTCATCTCTCACAATAAAACAACTAGCCAGAGCTAATATAAGAATGAAAGTGGGAAATACTGCACTTTGCCTTTTATACGAGCCCTTCACATCTCGAAAAATCTTCAGGAGGTACGAGAACTCCTGCCAAGAGTTAATAGCTTTAACTACAAGTACTTTTCCCACTTCTCTCACCTCATCCCACACATCCCCATGAACATCGGCTCCAAACCTTTTATTCTTGTTTCGTAGTAAAATTCTCAGTATCTTTAGTCCCCTGTTTCTGTGTTTTCTATATATTTTCATATTTAAATAGTATCGATTCTAAACATAAAATGGAATTCTTTTATTTATTACAAAAAAAATTAATCAATTGGTTTCAAGTGCTGGAAATAAAATACTTCAATGACTGTCACGTGTACTCCCAGGACAATTATCCTTCAAGTCCTCATCATTACCATAAGTCGCACCACACCAAATGCAGTAAAAATATTTATCCCGCAGATATTTGGTAATGATTTCTAATTTTTCACTTGTGAGAAGTACTGTCTCTTCAGGTTCTTCATCATCTTCCTCTGCTTCCACCTCCTCATCGCTTTTGTTTTCTTTCTTAACTTCTGGCCAAAACCAAGTTTCCTTTGGTTCACTTAAATTTTCTTTAACGTCGAGTACTTCACAGACCTTTTGACTTTTCAACAAATCACCTACTGTTAATTGTTCGCTCTTTTTCGTCGATATTCTGTTACGAAAATCTTCAGTTTTCAGTGTTTCCAGTTTAGCTGTTGGATTGATGGATTTTGTGGATTTTCTTTTCTCCGATTTTCCCAGACCCAGACGATTTGTTTTAAGATCAACTGGAATGGGCTCTGTACGACCAGATTCAGTTTTCCCTATACCTTGACCAGGTTTATAACCCATTTTCATTAACATTTTGAACCCTGAAACGCATTAAATGGTTTTATAGCAGACATAACGAGAAATAAGGAATATTTTTAGTAATGTTTACTTAATAGTCAGTATATGTTTACCTTTGTTACTACTAGCTATAGCTGACGCTAAACCTTCCTCTCTTCTTTCTTGTTCAATTGCCTTGGCTGATTTATTTTTCTCTCTCATCTTTTCCTCAGCAGCTACTTTCCTCTTTAAAAGCTCTATTTCACGTTGCTCAGATTTTTTGAATACTAAACTCGGAGGAGTGCATTTCTCTGTTTCAACGAGAAACTTATCTGACATATAATCATCGTCGTCTGACATTTTGTTTGCTTGTAAATATGCTATAATACTATTTGCATACGGGATTTATCTGGCTATAAAGGGTGAAGGGCAATAGCACCTTTATTCCGATTCAATACAACTTGCGTGTAATTTTCACTGTTTGGTAAAATGTCAGTATTTTTCCATTTGGTTTCACAGAATCAACGCAGACGTGTGTTTTGCATTGATAGGTTATGTTTCTATGGTTCTACGCATATATCAACTGTCTCGAAAACATTCACCTGTCCCTATGAATATCACATCAAAAGTTCAAACTACTATTTTCATTTAAAATTACTTCTTCTTTAATATAAACATACACTGTACATTGTACAATCTTTATGACAAACAATACGTAAAAATATTTTTAAATACAAAAAACGTGGATAATTCAATTTGATTAAGGTTTTTACGAGACCATATTATTGTATATATATTATGGAGAATTGGTCCATTATAAATTTTCTCAAAAGCACCATCTGATCCATCATCGTGTTATTTTAACGAACGATGAAAATGACAATCAATTTTAATGCCGGAATGTTATGCTGACTATAGAGGGACGTTTTTAAATATGTATTTTCAAAAAATATGAAAGATGAATTTGAAAGGTTTTGAATAATAGAGAGATGAAAAAAAAATAATTTGCACGCCTGTTCTCGGGTGTGTTCGTTACGGATCGATAGGTATCGTGTGGAACGCGGAACTTGTTGACCGCAGTTGGCAGAGCTTGCCAACAAGTTGGAACAGTGAAATCGAAACAGTACACACGGTTGCTGGTTGCGGCTCCTAAAGTAGGATTCCATCCATCATAAAAAAAAAAGTGGCAAAAGAATAAAAAAAAAAAGTAACATCGAACAAGAAAGCAGTGAGAGAGAGGAGAGAACAAGTCATTTGGCCCGAGGAGCAGTCTGCATCGTCTGCCTTACTGTACTCCCATGCGAGACACAATCAAATGGACAACTATGGGAGAGAAAAAAAAATGAAAAACGTTTAAAAAAGATGTTTTGCGTATAGTGAACTGGCCATTGTGTCATTGCCACGACGAGAGCTGAAGATCGGTGTTGTGTGCGTGAAGTTAGAACTGAAGGAGTGGAAAAAGTGGCATAACTCATTTGTGGGAGAATTGTCAGGAGGAAACTGCCTGGTTCGTGTTGGATTCTCTCCGTTCTCTCGGTGATCTCATTGGAATTCATATAGGAAGCCATCAGCCAAAATAGAAAACTCACGTCTAAAGGAATAAAAAGTGCTCTCATTAAAATACTCTGAAAGAATTATCATAAACTCGCGAGACAATTCTCTCCATGTAAAACAAAAAAAAGTACATCTGACAGTAGAGGGTGATTTTGGGGCAGTTGGAAAGAGTTCCGAGAAAAATAGAACAGTCAACTAGATCTGGAAGTGGATGCTCAGAATGAAGATTATTATGATGATTATAATATGATGATTCATTGATAAGACGTTTCAATTAACCTGCATCATTATAGGAACATGCTAACCAACAGAACCACCCCATGTACCTCATTGGACGTTTCATTTTTCTCACGTTGTCCTGAGAAAAAAAATAAATGAATAATTGAGGTGGTTAAATTCCAAGTGCATTAGTTAGTTGTGTGGGCAATTGTTCGTATACTACACATGGACTTTGCAATAGGACAGAGCTTTTCCACTAATAAGGAATATCAAGAGACTTATTCAATAAAATCGGAAAAAATTCCTGTGGCTATGGTTGTGGCAAGCAGTGGCTGGGTGCAAAATGCCAATTTCACGAATGAAAACGATAACAACATGAGTACAGAGAGTGAAACAAACAAGATGACCGCCAAAGGTATGCTAATATGCCGTGATAATTCTCATGCATTCGAAGATAGAACACTTGTGCTCGATCTGCCAGTTAAAATAGGTAGATCAGTGGCACGTACACGTGCATCACCAGATAATGCAATTTTTGATTGCAAAGTATTATCGCGTAATCATGCATTACTGTGGTACAATGCTGGAAAATTTTATTTGCAAGATACTCGAAGTAGCAATGGAACATTCGTTAATAATCAGCGTCTCAGTTCCACTGGTTTACAATCAAAAGCCACTGAAGTTTCTTCAGGTGATATCGTTCAATTTGGTGTGGATGTCATGGAAAGTACGAGGAAAGTCACCCACGGCTGCATAATTGCCACCCTCAAACTATTTCTTCCTGATGGAAAAGAGGCTAAAGCTTCGAGAACAATGTATGGTACCAATCCAGACGGAGATGTTACCCTGGAGGATCTCTATAAATTGGATCAATATATCCGGGCGGCTAGTAGGCGTGAGCAAGTGCTTCATTCTAAACTAGCATATCTTCAGAAGTTGGTGGAAAATACGAGAAAAGCAGCGACACAGTCATGGAAGGCTTTAATTGATGAGGATCGACTATTAACTCACGTGAAAACCATCGAGAGCCAGCTCCTTGCTTACTCGAAGAATTTCACCGAGGACAAAATCAGAACAGAGCTCATCAAGCTCGAGGAGCAAAAATCTCAGTATCAAATTGCTGCCAAGGATGCATTGCAAAAAGTACATCAGGAAAAATTAGAAGTCACTCAGAAATTAATTGCCCTTGAGAGTCGTCTCAATGAGACAGAAGAGGAATGTCAGAGTCTCCACGAAATATCAAAACATGCTCAAATTGAATTGCAAGAATTAGCATTAAAGTACAGTACAGCTGAGATGAATCTCGCACAATTAGAGGCCAAACTAGTTGATAAGGAGCAAACATCAACAGAAATGGTACTCTCAGCTGCACAAGAAAAACAAGACCTCATAGAGAAAGTAATGCGTCAAACAAAAATTGGTAATTTTCTTCGGCAAAAGCTCAACGAGAATCGTTCAGACTCTGTTAAAATTCACAAAGAAATAACTAGCCTTCGAAATTATATGCAAACACTCCAGGATATGAACTCCAAATTATCAGAAGACTCAAAAGACGGGCTGAATCCAGTGGAAGCTATTAATGCAATACTGGATACATTGAACGAGATGATTGCTGATTCGGAAAATATTGATGACCTTGAAAATTTGGCTGTGAGTGAGGACAATCATAATAAATTACAGGAAATTGATTCTAATGAAAAAATAATCATCAATTC